ACAACGAGCAACGGTTTAGACCAATCAGGAGATAGAGAGATGGCACAGATTCGGCCAATCAGAAGACATGTATTGGAAGAAAGTAAAGAAAAAAAGGAAAGCTTCTGAAAAAGGTAGGTTCGAACTTCATATGCAAAGGATACTAGTCTTATTACTGTACAGGTTTTAACACACCAAGCTACAGTGACACAGGCACTAGACTACAATGCAACAGGTACAAGGTTGAAGAATCTGCATGCTCTACATGGCCCCCTCCCAGATTGAATCACGTCCTCGTGATAATGTGAATATTGTAAAAATAAAAATGAAACGAAAGAACCCAAGGAAGAAGCTATATAAACTGTGTGTTAAATGCCAACCCAACACTATATCTAAAAAAACTCAAATCTCAATCTCTCAAATCTTCACAAGAAAATTGTACATATCAATTGTTCTTGGCTCTCATTGACGGTATCGCACCGGCCTCTGGAGATTTGCCCGATTGCGTAAGTTATACCCACCTGCCTGTGGCATGATCGGAACGGCCGGCACAACGGGAGCTGCCGGAACAGCCGGGACTGGAACAGCCGGAACTGGAACAGCTGGAACTGCCGGAACTGGAATAACCGGAACTGCCGGAACCGGAACAGGTGGAACTGGAATAGCCGGAACTGCGTCTTGCACGTAATCAATTAGCGCCGGTTGAGGTAGGTGTGCTGGCACTGGAGCGTGCTGCTCCTCAGTTACTTGAGTCGTTGACTTGAGCCGATTGATGTGCACCACCTGGAGTTTCCCTGTATCACAGTGCTCAATCCTGTACACCACGTCATCGATCACCTCGACAACTCGATACGGCCCGGTCCATGGCTTGAGGAACTTCTTTGTGTTGCCTGCTTTCACAGCTGGGTTGTGTAAGCGCACCTTGTCATTGATCGCAAACCGTGGCTTGGTCGTCTTTGCATCATAGTAGTCCTTCTGACGTTTCTGTGCTTTAGCGCCAGCTGATCGAGCGTGAGAAAATGCCTGCTGCAAGGAGATCTCGAGACCAATCATATAGTCAGGTACAGATTTGACATGTTCTCTGGAGTCGTTAAACATAATATCCACTGGCAACTTAAGCTCTCTGCCGAACATCAATCTAGCTGGGGTTTCCTTGGTTGAACTATGTACGCTACTACGATACGCCAGTAAACAGCGTTGAATATGCAGGTCCCAGTCATTGTGATTGGCATTGACTCTGGCACTCAGCATGTTCTCAAGTGTACGATTCATCCGTTCAACTAAACCATCACTAGAAGGATGATATGGAGTCGTGCGTGTCTTCTTCATATCTAACAGTTCACAGATGGATTTGAACAAATTTGACTCAAATTGCGCACCTTGATCAGTGTGGATAGACAGTGGCACACCGTAGCGACAAATGAAACCATCAATCAGTGCCGAAGCTATTGTCCTAGCAGTCATATCCGGGATGGCAAACGCTTCTACCCACTTCGTGAAATAATCAGTAATCACAACAATGTAGAGGTTACCTCGATTTGTTCTGGGCAGTGGTCCCATGATGTCCATAGCGACACGTTGCAGTGGAAAGGATGGTTGGTCCACCTTCATCGGAGCGCGAGCGGTTGGTGCTGGGGTACGCCTAGCGGAACAAAGCGCACACGCCTTGCAATGCAGCTCAATGTCAGACGACATAAAAGGCCAATAGAATCTAGCTTTCACCTTCTCTAGAGTACGTTCAGTAGCGAGGTGGCCACCACTACACTCATTGTGCATCCCAGTCATAATTCTCTGCCGCAAACTGACAGGTACAACAAGTTGCAGAAATGAGTTGCTACCATCTACTGAAGTGTACGTACGATACAATAAGCCATCTTGCAGAACCAGCCGTTTCCACTGACTCCACAGACGTATCAAGGTTAATGATGCTCCTTTCATAGCACTATCACTGCGTTTAGGCCTGTCTAACAATGCTTGTTGCCAACCAATCATGCAGTCAATGTCACGGTCTTCCGCTTGAGCTCTGCGAATATCTTCTGCACTAAAAAAATCTGCCCAATTGCTTCCAAGTAAATTGCTATCACCATTCGCATGTTCTGCAGGTTGTGATTCAACGTCAACATTACCCACGTATGCTTGATGTCCAGAATCCTGCGTCAATGCATCACCAGCTGCTGTATCCGGAGAGACTGATGGCACGGCTGTAGGGACAGGAATGGAAGACTGGGAAGGACAGACAACAGTAATATTTGGATCCATTACTGAAGGCTCGGCAGTGGCCGATGCAGGATGCTCCGAATTGTCCGCAGGTTGGCTATGGAACCGTGACAATGCATCTGCGTTGGCATGCTGAGTGCCTCTACGGTGGACAGTTGTGAAATCGAACGCTTCTAGTTTCTCCAACCATCTCGCCAGGATACCTTCCGAATCCTTGAAAGACTTCAACCAGAGAAGGGCTTTGTGATCGGTTCGCAAGGTAAAGTTTGCACCCAGCAAATAATGTTTGAAGTATTGCACAAAGAAGACCACTGCATACATCTCACGCCGAGTTGTGCCGTAGCGACGTTGGCTCTTACTAAGTGAACTACTAGCATACGCAATTACCTGCTCTCTGCCCTGATCGTCAACCTGCGATAGAGTTGCACCAATACCAGTGTCAGAAGCATCCGTGTCCAGGATAAACTTGCGGGATGGATCCGGGTACGTCAGGACAGGAGATGACGTGAGCTTCTGCTTCAGGATATCGAACGCTTGCTGACACTCATCCGTCCACGAAAAGCTTGCCTGTATCTGCATTAGCTTGTGTAGCGGTGCTGCAATTGTCGCGAAGTCCTTGATGAACCGCCTGTAGTAGGAAGCAAAACCTACAAATCGACGAACCTCGGTTGCAGAGCTAAGTGGTTTGAGACTGGTGACCGAACTGCAATTCTTGGGATCAGGGCTCACACCACCTCCCTTGAACACATGCCCAAGATACGTAACCGACTTGCTCAGAATCTGGCACTTACGAGGCTTGACCTTCAAACCTGCTGCCCGGAATTTTTCAAATACTAGGCGCAGTCTAACCAGATGTTCTTGAAATGTTTTCGAGAAAGTTATGGTGTCATCTATGTACGCTGAACATACGCTTGGCACAAGATCACCCAGAACCATGGTCATCAGGCGCTGGAAAGTTGCTGGGGCATTGCACAACCCAAATGGCATGACTTTCCATTCAAACAATCCAAATGGAGTGACAAATGCTGATTTCGCCCTTGCTGCATTAGTTAGCTCTACCTGCCAGTAACCGGATGCAAGATCTAGGGTTGTGAAATACTGTGCGTCACCCATGTTGTCTATCGCATCATCAATCCGCGGAATGGGGAATGCGTCTCTGACAGTTACAGCATTGAGTTTGCGATAATCGACACATAGTCTAATAGCTCCATCAGGCTTCCGAACAACAACGATAGGGGCTGCCCAAGGACTGTTGGAAGGATCGACTAAACCCTCAGCTAAAAGCTGCTCAACATGTTCACGAACCTCATTGGCATGGTGAAGCGGCAATCGTCTAGGGGCTTGGCGAATAGGCTGGCTGCTAGTGGTCTCGATGTCGTGTTTGGCAACACTGGTAGAGCCAAGATCCATTGCTCCCGTTGAAATTATGTCGCTGAACTCCGAGAGAAGAGACCTGACGGCTGCTGCCTCTTCTGTATCGAGATGACTAAGGTCAAACAACTCAACAGGGTCAGAACACATATCAGCAGCATTACAGCTTTCAGCAGTACAATCACGCTCATCCGCGGCTTCTGCGGCTTTCTCAACAAAGCAAGATTCGAACATGCCAACAACTGTACCCTTGTTTATAGTGACAGGCCGTGGTAGCAGGTTCTGCAACCTGACAGGAACAGTACTGTTCTCACTCACGGTCGTGACCACTCTAGCTGCACTGACACAAAATTTATCTACGAACGACTCTGTTGGCTCTACCATTCCGCACGATGGAGACATAAACTCAGTGTCACGTAATCTACCTTGCGTTATCAACTGAGAATAGCCCTGTAGAACAACAGATTCAGCCAATTGCACTGGAATGGGGTCTGTTTCCACTCTCTGACATGAAAGGTGCTTGGGCCCAACTCCCTGTGTTAATGGAAGGGTCTGATTGCTCAAGCGCAGACAGCCTTGTCCCAGATCCATAATACAACCGTGCCTACGGAGGAAGTCTATGCCTAATAGTACGTCAGGCTCAATGTTTGCAACTACCATAGTGTGCTGAAGTTGGAGGCTGCCAAACTCTAGCTGCACATCCACCGCTCCTTCCACAGTCACGCCACTGCCATCAACACTTCGGACTGATGTAGAAATTTTGTTTAATTTTATATGCTTATGTTGTTGATAGAATGCTGAGCTGACAAACGAAATCGAACTTCCAGAATCAACTAACATGTGGACATCAGTTATGCATATTGAACTTACTTTGCCGATAACATACTGGCAACTGTCAACAGCAACGGAATGGCATACTACATCGGAAGGCGCGGCGGGCAGCACTTCCGGGCCATGGTGGTTTGGAGCTGACTCTGGACCCTCTATGCCAACTCCCGGCCGTTTCCCGAAGGGCGCTGACGTTGTCCCCGGGGTGGAGGTGCAGTCGGGCAGCACGCAATCAGATGTTCGGCACTCCCACAATGGTAACAGCGGCGCTGTTGTTGGGGTGGCTGCTGGGGTCGCTGCAAAGATGACAGAGCGGTTTCCAATCGTTCCATCCTTACTAATAAGGCATCCAAACGATCTTCCCTGGCAGCACAGACAGCCGCGGCCACTGGCTGAGACGCACTAGTAGTAGCGTCCGCTTGGAGTATGGCAAGTGCTCGAAGTCCTTGCTGCAGTGCCTGGTCAAGAGTTCGGGGGTCTTGGCGACGTACCTCCATGCGCAACTCTCTGCTGTCCAGACCTTCAATGAATTGGTCACATGCCAGCTGGTCCTGCACGAGGTTTGGCAAGGTAGGGTACGCTCTGCGAGACAATCGACGAATCACCTCGCAGTAATCAGACAACGCCTCCTCACCTCGCTGTCGTCTGGCCTTCAATTCCGCTCTGTGGAGGTCGGTCCTGACGGGTGGAGCAAACCGACCCTCCAGAGCTACCAGTAATTGCTGAACATCCTGGCGTGTCGCGACAGGAAGCGACTGGTAGTAGCACTGCGCATTATCTATCAAGTACAACGGGATGTACTGTGCCTGGTCCTGCGGCGTCCACTGATTAACCAGGCAAACTTGAGTGAAGTGGTCACGCCAAGTAGTCCAGTCCGAGGCTGCTCCACCATCAAAACGTTCCGGAGTTGCCCATGGCCGGATGGGTCGAACGGGAGCTGGCTGGGCGGGCTGAACTGGCTGGGCGGGCTGAACTGGCTGGGCGGGCTGAACTGGCTGGGCTGGCTGCACTGGCTGGGCGGGCTGAACTGGCTGTGCTGGCTGGGCTGGCTGAACTGGCTGGGCTGGCTGAGCTGGCTGAACTGGCTGGGCTGGCTGGGCTGGCTGAGCAGGCTGGGCAGGACGGGGCGGCTGGGCCGGCGGTACTTGCTGGTTAGGCTGTGCTTGGGCCATTCCGAACCAGGAATCACTTCACATTGTCACAACAACAAAAACATAGTATGAAAAAAAAAACCGAAACATCCACCGCTGCCACCAGTTGTAGCGTGGCCCAAGTGGTTGGGCACACAACAACCAACAAGTCTCACCAGAGCAAGGAGAAGTGGTTGAAGAAATGAAGGATGATCTTTCTTCAGAGACAGAGCTTTTTATATGTGCCAAGACTAAGAGAGTTCAGGTTTCACATAACAACGAGCAACGGTTTAGACCAATGAGGAGATAGAGAGATGGCACAGATTCGGCCAATCAGAAGACATGTATTGGAAGAAAGTAAAGAAAAAAAGGAAAGCTTCTGAAAAAGGTAGGTTCGAACTTCATATGCAAAGGATACTAGTCTTATTACTGTACAGGTTTTAACACACCAAGCTACAGTGACACAGGCACTAGACTACAATGCAACAGGTACAAGGTTGAAGAATCTGCATGCTCTACATGTGTTTGTGTGTGTGCACGAGCAGCATATTCCTGCGTGACTGCAAGCGGTTGAACTGTGCCATGGTGTGCAAGCAGTTCCGAGCAAGGGACTGCAAACGCGTTACCACCTTGCTCTGCTGTACATCCAATCCAACCTTGGAAGCATCCAAACACATGGCATTCGGATGCCTGTCCTTGTCATATAAGCAACTGGCCGGTAAGGACGTCTGAATGTGTAGCACAGAAGGAAAGGGACGAAGCTGTGTTGGACCGACCGTGGCTCACTTTCTCTCTCTCTCTCTCTCTGTCTGTCTGTCTCTGTCTCTCTTCTCTCTCTTCTCTCTCTCTCTCTCTCTCTCTCTCTCTCTCTCTCTCTCTCTCTCTCTCTCTCTCTCTCTCTCTCTCTCTCTCTCTCTCTCTCTCTCTCTCTCTCTCTGTCCTTTGTCTATCTCTACTGAGTGAAGAGTTATGCCTTATACAGGCATTGAGCACTCTTTGGGCAGTGGGGCACCCTACCTTCTCATAACAGTGTACTAGTAGTCGAACAGCTAGCTGTGTTGACCTCAGCTACTACTACATGTACTGTACTACTACTGTACTACCTGTCGGGCAGTGACACATGGTCCAATGAGTTCCGTAGCTATGTGCAGTCAACTCCTGATATAGCGAATACCCTTGTGCAGGAGAACTAGTTCTTTATAGGCGAAGTTCGTCGGTAATAGCAATGCACTCGCACTATACAAACAGCACATGTCATGACTGGTATGTGGCTCATGACTTTATGACTTTATGACTGCGCTTGGTTATCATGCGGCCTTACAAGAAATTGTTCGTTATAAACGAAAACAGTTCGTTGCCAAGGGTCAATTTTGTATCGGTTCAAACAGGGATATGTACAATGGTTCGCCATATAACGAAATTCTCTATATAAGTTACGAGTTCATTATAAGCAGAGTCGACTGTAGTTGTTTAGACCATGTTATGTCTGCTCAATGGAGCTCAAAACGACTGGCCTGGCCGGATGTAACGAAGCCTCTTCAAGTTGGCTCAAAGCGTCAGAGGTGGTGTGCGGTCTAACTGGGACGAATGCTGCAAGCGTTGAAGTTTGTATGCACTGTACTAAGACGGAACTGAGGCTGTGACTATGATGCAAACCCTGAAGAATACACTTTCAACACTTTGGGCTAACTGTGACTATGTTTTTATTTTAATGACAATATGTTTGTGTTTCGCACCTGAACAGACTGGCTAGAAGCTCAATATCGTTATTCGCATAATACGCAGGATTTAGTTTGAGGTAAAACAGACAAAATTATTAGAATATTATAAAATTAAAATTGTATGTGTGCGGTGTGCGTTCATGTGCTTGTGTGTGTGTGTGTGCACGTGCGCGTGCATGTGTGATGTTGCAGATCAGCTTGCCTCAGCTGGCATTGTGGTGTTTGATAACTCCTGGTTTGACGTGTTTGATTTCTCACGGGATAATCTGGAGCCTGGCGAGCAATGGAAGTTCCAACCTACGGTAGGTGGCATGCCACTTGACACGCTGCTATGTGACTGTAGAATACCAAGGATAAGCAGATGCCCGTGTATACAGAGAAGATGCCCGTGTATAAGCAGGTGCCCGCACATAGGCCCAGGTTGTGATAATTTGGCAATGGCACAAACACTCAAGCACCTATCAATTAACAAAAGGAGCAAAGTGTCTGTGCTGGTTTGTGTGCACTGTAGATGTGAATCTTAGCATGTTCCTCACCTGTGTGCGCACACGCACATACATGCACGAGTGTATGCATATGTGTACACTGTACAGTCATGTGTATAATTATGTGCATGCTATATGCTATGTACTGTTGCTGTGGTTGTGTGTCCTGTGCTCACAGGTGGTTGGTAAGGAGGACAGTGTGCTCAAACTCCACAAAATAGTCGATGATCACGCTGAATTGGCATCACTGGAGATCACAACTAGTGTGGAGTCCAGCCAAGTTCCTTTCACTGTTGGATATGAAACTGGATGTGATTATGACCAGGTAACTGACCTAGCACTTGTTGCCTTGAGGTGTACGGATTATGTGGCTGCTGCCGCGGGGCTGTCCCGCCTGTAGCTCCATGTGTGTGTGTGTGTGTGTGTGTGTGTGTGTGTGTGTGTGTGTGTGTGTGTGTGTGTGTGTGTGTGTGTGTGTATGTGTGTGTGTGTGTGTGTGTGCTCCATAATTTTAAGTAGTGGAAATGCCGTACAAGCACAGAGTCTCTGGTTTCATTATCGCCGTAGACCTATAAATGTAATTCCATTCCCAGAGAAGCATTGTGGCAGGTCCTTGCAGTGTTGGGTGTGCCACGCCAGATTGTTAGCTTGGTGTCGTCATTCCATGCTGGGATGACGGCCCACGTGCATGTTGGTAACAGCAAGCGCACCCCCTTCCTAAACCCTACCTGCCGTCGTAAGTTTCCTTCGGGAAAGGCCACGACAACTTACTTTTACTCCCCCCCCCCCCCCCTAGAAGGGGACCATCTATGCCCCTGTAACAGTTATACTGAGAGTATAGCGACGACAACAGGCTCAGGCAGGGATGTGTTAGGTCTTCGATTTTATTCAGCCTCTATTTCTCCATGGTGTTTGAGTGACGGCGTTGGTGAAATGCCTCATGCTTGTCCATGGGCTTGCCTGGATTGCCAATGGTTCAATATCAGTGGAAACGTGTTAAAAGTCAGTGTGCTGTGCTGTGTGCTCAATTGACTGTGTGTTTGTTGTTGTGTGCTGTGCTCAATTGACTGTGTGCCTGCTGGTATTGTGTTATGAACACGTTGCACAGAGTTCGTTGGCTGTATTCTGCAATGCTGATCAAGAAGACGTGGCCGCCATGATGCGGCGCTTCACAACCTCTGTTGCCATGGACACCAAGGTAAGACCAAAAACTGAAGAAAATATCATTATTTTTTCATGTATTACTCAATCTCCGGACAGCTACCTGTTTCGACCTTGGCAGGCAAAGTGACTACAGTGTGTCAATGCGTTATACACAGCAGTACCCGTTGTGAAGCTACTGTCATGGACATGGAAATCCGGTCGATCGTCGAGCGGCCCAGGGCGCTGGCCATGCAGCCGTGATTACCCATACGATCAACATGTGCACTCCAACGCAGCGTTCTGTACGCACTGAGGGCGCCGGCCCGCATCAATCGACCAGATTTCCATGTCCACGACGGTACTACAGTGTGTCAGTACATTATAAACAGCAGACTGCCAGTCCCCGGTGCATTTGCCAGACCTCTGTACATTGTGTCCTATTTTTTTAAAAGGCAAGGGTGTCCGGTGACACTAGTTATTCTTCGTCTTGCATAGCAAATCAGTGCTTGTGATACCGCCCCACACAAGACACGTCTATTGATGATGTCATAATTATGTCGAATAATGACGTCATTGCATCACTTCTAGAGAGCACGCTATGTGCTGCCTGGGGACAGGGTACTAGGGTCCACAAATCCGCACTGATCAATTCAAAAAATGGTGTGCTATTTGTTTCCTGTTGCTGAAGGCAATTCAAGCCCTACGATCACGTCGGACCACACTGACACAGGAGGACTGCAAAGAGGTGTTCTCCTATGCTTCTGGTGATAAGCAGACGACTTTGGCAAAGCAAGGTAAACCCTATGTTGTGGTAGCACTCACTAACTTGTCATAATCTTCTCTTCCATTCTATCCTCAGTTTCTTACTTATGCCAATATGTGCCAATAAAGCAGATTATGTTATTTTCGGAAATCTTCTAGTTTTCTGCTGAAATTTATGCTAGCCAATTTCGGCAAGGCCTATTGAGTGCAGCCAGTTCACGGCCTGAAGTGACGCTCTCTGCTCACATGGTGATAAGCCGTCAGTGATTGGCTGGAGGCTCACTACACCACGTGCAAGCACTAAAAGTCCGTCGACTTTTCGGCCCAGTATCAACCAGTCGATAGTTGGCCGAAAACACTGTTGTGTAGACAAGATTTCGCCAGGGTATCAAGTTTCAGGTTTCTATTTATTTACGGGGTTTATGCACTAACTGGACTTGTTATAACAAGGAAGGACCTGTACTCTGTACCGAGGCTAGGCGAGAGTGTCCGATGTGTGCATAGTATTTGAGATCTTGGTGGTGAGTTGTCTAGCCTACTCCAGCAGGCAGCAGTGTTCTGCTTGCAACACGTGCACCGCTGCCTTGTCTTGAGCGGTACGTCTGATGAACCTGTGTTCTTCCCTGACTACATTTTAACTCCTGCAGGGCCTATCGTTGGTGTTCAACTGTCAGGCGAGGACATTACGCAGGAATGGTTTTCTGCACATCTCGCCAAGTCAACAACAAGCACAGACCAACCGGCTGCGTTTTTCTTCAATCACCAGGATGCTGGCACCAAGTTCTTCGATTTTGCCAGCATGATGTCAACGAGATAGTCGAGTGAATGAGTTACCTGTGCCATGCACGGGTCAGGGCAGTACCCGTCTGCACATCTCTACTATGATCTCAGAGCTTATACATGCATGTTTGTTTGTTCAAGCCTTCCTGACCCTGTATCTATTGGACACTGTGCTTACAATCCATATTCTAGTCAAGATATGCCGGACATCTTGTATGTGCAGCCGCTCCATACACTGTTCTATACACTTACCAGTTACTATTGTCTATGCAGGACCATGACTTGTACTGGGGCCAGGACTAACAGCACTTTGATGGGGCCGGCACGGGGCGGGTATAAGACGGTGCTTACAGTAGAGATATGACGTGGCAGCTGTTCTTGTCTTGAGACTTATTAAATTTTGTTTTTCCAACAATAGAATTTAACAAAAAAATCCACAGCTCAACTTCATGTGATGCTGTCCACTGTAAAGGAATACAAACAATGTGTGGATGTGTGCGTGTGTGTTCTTGGTGCAAGCCAATATCCTCTCAGCTGCCCGTACTATTAGCAAGAGTACATGTGCTCTTGGTATTAGTATCATCAGCCTTTTCGCGTTGACAACACCAAGCAAGCTTGGCTAGTTTTCGCTTTAATAGGCCAAATGGAAGGAAGAATGAAGAACGAGCAGGGTCAACAAGGTGCTTATAATATGCATGCAACTGCAGAATAGGCAACACAGCAAATACCCTAACATACACGAACTGTGAACTATTTACTTCGACAAATAGAACCCGAAAACTGCTGAGTGCTGAACATATACTGTAATCACGATAACAGTTACATGTACAGATAGCAGACAATCATGCATGATGCCAATGTCCATGATACACAACTTACAGATACGTCTACCTACAGAGTACAGTACAACAGCCTTACATGCAACTGAGGTTATACAGTCAAACTTGTCAATAACCATGATAACAACCTCAGGTACAGGTAGTACTACTCACATACCCACACCTAGCCACCATTTGACAGCGTACTTTCAACCTCACAAAAGAACGACAATTTCCTTATACAGTCAGACCTCGCATAACCGCACACATCCGTTTTCCACAAAAATATCCGGATGGGCGAGGGAACCGGATAATCGAACGCACATGCTGTATGTATGCACGACATATGCTGTAAATCGGTAACCAACGATTTTCTTCCGGATGGCGAGGGATCCGGCTAAAAGAGGACCGGATAAGCGAGGTCTGACTGTACAGGAGTGAGGGTCGTTATCTGCAACATTGCCTGCGTACTGATAGAGATGTTCTGCTTTACGTCATGGCAACGGGGCACGAAGAATCTATGGGTCATTCTTCGCGTTCCTGTAATGTACGAGATACCTGTTCTGGTCTACGTTCACGCGAAGAAATGACAAGCACGGTGGAATGTGTACTGGAAATTTCCCGGTCCAATTTTGCCAGTATTACTCCCTGTGGCTGTGAACGATGATACCCTGGACATCCACACAGGCATCTTCTTTGCGTGTGCCGCAACGTAGAGAACCCCATCTCCGCATAGAACTCTGTATCCCCAATACATGAAGCAGTACGACACTCTAACCCAGACAACTGTCCTAACAAGACGTGTCTACATTTTACACGGAGCAGAACTTCTCATTAGACTACCGGTATGTCACCTGTATGGTATGCAGGTTTGTGTGAAGACTGTAAAGAATAGAGAAGAATCGGACAGAGTCATGTACAATCTGTAAAAAAAAACTATCTACTATGGGAATAGAAGATCCATGTTGCTGTGTGAGGCCATAAATATGTTTTAGGTAAACACTTAAAATTATTGAAATGCCATAATATAACGTTACGTCAACATACTATTCAAGTATCAAGTTTATTCATGCAAGATGAAGATTTGTCTGTGACGACATCTCAAGAAGTATTTACTGTGGCAGTCAGGGTGACTGCATTTCAAGTCCATTGTCCATTGTCTATTATGTGTGTGTGTACGTGTGTGTGTGTGTGTGCGTGCGCGCGTGTGTGTGAGAGTGAGAGAGAGAGAGAGAAAATGGCGAGCGGGGAGTTACACAGTAGTGGCGACGCCTAACTGGACGACTTCACCAGATCAAAGTGGCTGGCAATCTGAAATAGAGCTATGAGTGTGATTACGTAGATTGAAAACTGTAACACAACAGGCTGATACCAGCTAAGCAACCAGCCAACATAGACAATAGCACGGCGAGCAGGTGCAGGAAGCAACCCGCTAACCAGTGCAGAAGTAACAGCCCTTGCAGCATTGCCATCACCACCACCACCACCACCACCACCACCACCACTAACCATAGACGTTAGAGCAGCTAGTTCAGCTGAGACCGGTGTAGCAACGGTGGGAGGTGGTGCAGCGCGCGACTTGTGTCGACGGTAGGATCGCAGCAGCAACTGGGGAATCAGGTAAGCTAGCCATGCGCAGAACACGTTTAGGCTAATTACCACACCCTGTAGAGAAGACAAACCGCACACAGCATGTATGCACACAAACACACAAACACACACACAAACACACACATGTACGCACACAAACACACCCACACACACTCACACACACAAACACACACACGAACAAAATATGGTAAACTGGGAAACCGTTCCCATTTTCACGATCAGTGTGAAATCGCAAAAGTAAACTGAAGAAATTGGCTCCAATCGCAACCACTTTCAAGTCCAAACTTGTCTGTGCTTGCAAATCACAAACTAAGCCCGGTGCAACCATTTCCCCAGTTCACAGTACACTATGAGAAACATCAGGGCTCTAGCCAGGTCAAAATTGTAGAGGGTGATGGGCAGGCTTCACAGTTACCCGCAACCTTTTTTTTTTTTTTTAATTTTCCAAAAATTATCTTGTCATGCAAGATGCAACGTACAGTGCCAAAGCGCCCGTATCCCAGACTTCACCCCAGACAAGTGTGCCATTATGAACTCTCTGTTAGTGTTAGCGCCTATCCAGTGCGTTTTAGTTGAATTGCCTGAATAAAAAAACACAAAAATCTAAAACGAGTAGGGAGCGGCACTTTTTCACAGAGGGGCGCTGCCCCCCCCCCCCTCCCCTCCTTTGAGTAACTTAGAACCCTGAACATGTCTTTGTCGCACACTCCACAGTATGCCATGAGCAGAGAGTGAAGTACAGTATTGTACAGTGTAGGAGTGCACAGCCATTGTCCATGACCAGGATAGCGGACTCAATGTCACAAAGACATTGAGCTCATAGCGATGCACTCTTCATGCAGGATAGACTAGTACAGGATTCAACCAGGGGTAGGTCTTTTACACCTACATGCACCTGGCTGTCATTCCAATCTGAGCCTAGTCCTCTTCTTCAGTCTTTGTACCAGCTTCAGGTGACTACACCTGGTCACCAGGCATGCAAACGGAGCAAGGCACAAAGCAGGCATGCAAACGGGGCAAGGCACCAACCAGGCATGCAAACGCGGCAAGGCACAAACCAGGCATGCAAACGGGGCAAGGCACAAAGCGCCGTAATTCTCCCACTTGTTTCTACACAGTAGGGCATGTGGCCGATTTATTTTCTGGCAGCAGGCAGATGGAATGCTGTTCCAGCTGAATGTCGACAGGCCCCGTCTCTTGCTCTGTTCATCAACAGGGTTAAACTCCACACCACTCGACAATGATCATGCTAAGGAGTCAGGACATAGAAGCACTGCTCGGCAGCTTGCTTCTAACAGCACCGCAAAGCCGTCAAGACCCTGTTCCAGTTTGCCAGCACCAGAGCAGTAGGAGATCGACTAGGAGCAGCTACAGCCAGTTAGTTGAGTATGTACTAAAGAATACTACAGCCGGGGCAAACATGCAAGGAGTGCAGTACATGAGTAGGAAGAGCCTGATTAGCTGTAAAAAATATCAAGGCTGGTGCATGACCCAGGCAGACTGAGTATTGCACATCTGTGGGATGCCTATGACCTAAAGTGGCACGGGCTAACAATTGCGAACACACACATCCACAGACAACACACACGCACGCACGCACACACACACACACACACACAGAGTGCTACACGCACACACACACACACACACACATACAGTGTTACACGCACACACACACACACGCACACCATATACCATGTATACGCCCGTCGCAAGAGAAGCACGCAAATCTGCAAATGCACTGGATGTGCATCCACAGATCTTCTCTTATAGCAACGATAGCGAACAAGATCTGAATGAGACAGATCAAGACTTGCGCCAGATAACTAACTGTCTAATCCACACAACTGACGAAGCCATGTGAATTGACCACCAATGCACACCTGGTCTACACCACACGGAGTACATCGGCATATAACGGCCAAGACAGTTACCTATGCACACCCTACACTTGCTGGGGTAACCAGTATAGACAGCACGCTGCTTTGATAGAAGCAGACACTAGATGCACTGGTACCTTGAAGTGAAATTGGAGTTACACGCACACAGTGCTACACCCCCCCCCCCCCCCCACACACACACACAGTGCTACACACTGTAATAAGGTACATACCTGTTCCCAGTAGGCCTGGAACTCTGCACTCATTGATGCAAATGAGATTCGACTTGCTACGTTCAGTACAGCACAGAGTATGGTACTGACAGTCAACAGGACTAGCCATGGGCCTGACAGTACCTGTGGCTGCTGTCCAACCTACATACATGCATATATGCACACATGTACACACACACACACACACACACACACACACACACACACACACATGTGCACACACACACACACACACACACACACAACTTGCATGCGATTTGCAGAGAACATTCAGCGAAACAAATAGTCCGGAAGTTCCACAGATCTAGGTTTCAATCCGTCCTGAGAGACATGCACAAGCTACGCTTTCCCCACAGGTGTGCCGTCCACCAGGCTTGCACTTCTCGATGTGTACTTCAAATTACAGTAAAACCTGGTGTAAAGCGACCACCCCGCGGTGCAAGCAAAAGCGGTCGTTAAAGCCAGGTGGTCTTTAGAACCAGGTCCCACAGTGTCCGTGTAGAACTGTCGGTGCATGGAAAAACGGTCGCTAGGAGCAGGTGGTCGCTAAACCCAGAGGTCGCTTACACCAGGTTTTACCGTAGAACATATGCAGAGCAGTCAGCATACAGCAGAGGATGAGCACATCCCATGACTGCTCTATCGTGAAACCTAGAGTTACGTTGATGTTTGAGCCGATTTAAAAATGCTTTGTTGTAGACGCCATTGTGATTAGTTCGACCAGTAACTCTGAGCTAAGCTGATGTGGCCTAACAAGGTTGAACACAGCTAGCTTTGATTGAGTGAAGCCCAGAGAGTTACGAATACAACTTCTCGTCCTCTACCGTGTAAACGTATATTTCAAAGAATCCCCGAACCTGACAGAAGAATGAGCAGTTGACATGCACACATCCCATGCCTGTATGAAAGTACAAACATCTGTAGTGTCCACAGCACACTCCTACCACACAGCGCTGGCAGAGCAAAAATTCAGACAAAAATACAAGAACACATCGTACCGCTTTGTCCTGTTTCGCAGCATTGTTCTCCGAGGATTGAGATTGAGATGCAAGAGAGCTGCTCGTTGACGACTTGTCCTTCTCTGTACCAGCTGCTCCACTTGCCTCTGCTGCGTGTCGAGAAGAGGATTGCTCTGCTTGACCAATTTCTGCACTTGACGACTTGATGGCCATGCTTTCATGTTGTTTCTCCAGTGACTGTGATTCATCATTAGTATCTGGCTTACGCACAATTCTCCTTTTCAAAATTGATCCATCCTCACTTCCATCCGCTGTCGCACCAGTGGCAGCCAAACCCCCTTCGGGTATTCTCCTATCGTTGTCATTTCGCTGGGTCTCTTCAATAAGACCAGCACCAGCAGCAGAGGCTTCATCGACATTGGTGTTCGCTGTTTCGCTACTTCCAGGCCTTGTTACAGAAATGTCGCCAGAATTAGCCTCTTGGGATTCTCTGTTTTCCACTTCTGGACGAGTCACAGTTGCACCAGAAGACTGCACTCCCTGTATCCGTCGTAGACGATCTGCAGCATTCTGATTAATATTTCGCTTCCTTGCTTCTCGGCGTGCCTGGCGAAGGCGCCTGGCATCGGGGCTATCCATTGTCGAGGTCTCCGTGAGAGGAGGATAAGATAGAGAAGCAGCAAGTCAGCGTGCCAGTCTCGACTTCAGTTGACGTCGAATACAAAAATTCAAAAAATCAAAAATATCCCCAAACTTTTCAACGTATGGTACAAGAAAGAACTAGAAAAGAGCACTGCTAGATGCTAACGTTAGCCTAGCCAAGTCGAGTTCGGGCAGCAACGTTATCGACAGCTACAAAGCAACGGCAAGCCAGCTAGACAATCTGAAGTAACTACTATACTATACTACTAGTAGTTGTAGTTCATTTTTTAGTACCAGTTAGTTGTAAGGTCTACTTTCTCTCAGATTTTCAACTCTTTTATTTTGTCATTGTCTTCTCAGCTGAATATAATAATAGTAGACTATAAAATTTTAATTTTTTAAAATAATAATAATAGCAGCACAATTCAAATTTTCAGATGCGAGATAGTTTGACGCCATCATTGTCATAGAAACGTGCAGACCTACGTCATCATCGTGCATCACATATGCACACGCGCACGGCATCAAGTCAGATCTTCAAACTCAGAATCAAAGCTTGGATTTTTTCGTAATCTTTTTGAGCAGGTCAAAGTAATTATCTGATTATTTGGATTATGATTCTCGTAGCTTCAAGTCAATTGAATTAGAGAATACCAATATCTACAAGTGCAATCAGAAAAATGCTCTCTCTAGCTCGTTGTGGTCGTATGGCCATGCCTAAGTATGTGCGTACGAACAAGCTGCTTGCGGGAATTGGTGTGGAACGAACGCCAGACATTCCGAAGACAGACCGCACAATGTATTCTGAACCAGAACTTGGTCCTCGTCAGCCTCATGTTGGCCAAGAGGTCTTAGGCAAGGAGAAGCCAAGGCCTTACATTCCATCCGAACAAGTCGTTGAGATTCATCGGCAAGGCGAAGGTGATGCTACAAAGAGCGTTCGTGTTGCAGTGGCAAGCTATCGTGGAAAACCATTCGTTGAGATTCGTCAGTGGGAAGTCCTGGAAGAAGATGATGAGCTTCTCCCATCCAACAAAGGTATCAATCTGACTATGGAACAGTATAAGGCTCTCTGTGGAGCTATTCCACAAGTAGAAAAGCTTACGAAAGTGATTGAAAGTAAAGTGAAGGACGAAGGCTGGTGAAATTTGAAGTTGAACATTGAAGGTTTGTTTTTGCTGAACTATGTTCTTTTTTTCGAATCCGCTTGAAGGTAGACGAACATGTTCACTGAGTAAGCATCGAGATTGTTTGCCAAGTGAAAACTTTTTTTAGGGGAAAATAAATCATCCTTTTTGGGTGGTGTCTGGCAATGGATCGATTCGTGTAGTGTGTGTGTGGTGTGTGTGGTGTGTGTGTGTGCGTGTGCGTGTGCGTGTGTGTGTGTGTGTGTGTGTGTGTGTGTGTGTGTGTGTGTGTACATGGTGTGTGTGTGTGTGTGTGTGTACATGGTGTGTGTATGGTGTGTAAGTGTGTGTAAGTGCAAGCACAGGTGCACGTACAATGCATTATGTATTCTCTTTGTGTGTTTGGATTCACCCTCACTTCCTTGTATTGGCTGTTGCCTATTGCAAAGGATACCACACAATACAGTGTTGAAAGTGTGTCAGATGATGTGAGGCCAGGGCGTAGTGCACAATGCAGCAGTGCACAACGGCTATGTTGCAGTGCGGATGCAGCTACATGTACAGTGTAGTGCTGGTCAATGAGATGCGATCATGCAAGTGAATGCCACTACGGGCAGCGCTGTGCAGCCCTACACCTCCGAACACTGGTATATGAACTGGAGGAGGGCGCAAGCTTGACTCACTTGATCGGAATTCATTGAGCCGCACTGTTCATGTATCTATGAATCCTCGGGCTGCTGCGTGGAGTGCTCAGTGTTGTCCAGTGATCAGATTGAGCATTGCAGCAGCACTGTTCACTGTGGTGCAGGCACACAGCAACAGTGCAGCCAAGACTTCTTTCCTGTTACTCGCTTATATGCATTGTTCACGTTAGCCTGGCCTGTAGGCTGTAAGCAAGCATGATGAAAGCGATGTGTGCGTGTGTGTGTGTGTGTGAGAGCCTGGCAGTTATGCTGCATGATGAGAACAATGTGCATGTGAGCCTGGCCTGTGTAGAAATTTACTCATGATTGATTCGTGACTCACTGATAATTCTCCATCGCCTTTATAGTGCGCTTGATTGTGCTGATACATGTAGCATAGTACTGTCTCTCTCTCTCTCTCTCTCTCTCTCTCTCTCTCTCTCTCTCTCTCTCTCTCTCTCTCTCTCTCTCTCTCTCTCTCTCTCTCTCTCTCTCTCTCTCTCTCTCTCTCTCTCTCTCCTCTCCTCTCCTCTCTCTCTCCTCTCTCCTCTCTCTCCTCTCTCTCTCTCTCTCTCTCTCTCTCTCTCTCTCTCTCTCTCTCTCTCTCTCTCTCTCTCTCTCTCTCTCTCCTCTCTCCTCTCTCTCTCTCTCTCTCTCTCTCTCTCCTCTCTCTCTCTCTCTCTCTCTCTCTCTCTCTCTCTCTCTCTCTCTCTCTCTCTCTCTCTCTCTCTCTCTCTCTCTCTCTCTCTCTCTCTCTCTCTCTCTCCACACACACACACACACACACACACACTATGTTTGTTCAGTACAACAGAGGATTCGGAGAGACAGACTTATCTAGACTAGGGCATGTGGCGGGGGGGGGGGGGGGGGTCAAAGCTCCCGTGTGTTGCATTCTGTGTAGCAAGACAACTATTTTGGAAATTGAAAGATTGTGTTACTGTGCCCCTGACCCCGGGCCTATTTTGACCTGGCTAGAACCCGACAGACCATACATGCATGAGACAACTGATGTCAGGCACATCCTGCAGTGCTACAACACCTCACTCGTGCACCACGCATGCACAGAGCTTGCAAATGCAGACCCGGACCCCTCAGGCTCAGAGACACTGGCGCAATGAGCACACACGCCTCCACAGAGCTACTTACTCGCATATTCGAGCTGTAGATTTACAGACGGTGCTGGGGCAATGGGCACAGGCTTACACTAGTGTGACAAATTATTTGTGTTTCTTTCATATTTTCTCAAGGGCTGCTGGCAGAATGTCTGTAATCTTAAGTCATAGCATAACATAGGCATAGTGGCAATCGGAGGGCATCATTGTTGCTATGCGTGTTTTGCACATGGGTGCGGAGATGAGATGAGCGATAAACTAGAAGACTTCAATATAGACTGACAGTGGCAATAATTATTACCAAAAAAAAAGAAGACACAGGTACCAGAGCTGAAGAGTCTTCTGCATGAGCAACATTTCTAGAGACACCAAAAACATGGTCAACACGGCGGTCAAGCTGCAAGCTAGTGAGTGGGCTTCAATACTAATATTCCTTTCACATTGATACATAGTAACATTGAAACACACACATAATTTTGAAAAAGCGTAGAAATACCATCATGGAGGTGTCAGCTCCAAACTTTAGCATTGTAAGAAGAATGGAAACCGTGAAGTAATGATAGACCCGTACCGTAGTCAGTGACAGAAGGCACTGCACTGATCCTGTAGCATAGATCAGAATCTCACTATGCGTACAACATAAGTGTAACACTCAAGATGGTTGTGTTGTGGCCGCCGGTATGGCAATCAAGTGACGATGAGCTAGACCTCAGTGTTTGGCTTGGAGGAGAAACCCGCTCCAAATATGGAGGAGAAACCCGCTCCGAATAGCACACAGTGCTTGCAGTTTCCGTGCATCCAGAAAGCACTCAGTGGCACTGATATTCCGCACACGGCTGCATTGAAGCATTTCAGCGGCAAAGGTGCCAACACAGCATGATCGGGTTTACCACAATCACGCGATTAACAGTCGTTTTCCAGTACGATCATGTGGTATCCAGAAAGGCGGGGCAGCCATTTGTGGACAAGTTGCCAGCTCGTTGAGTAGATTCGTCCAGGCTAACCGATTGCCATCCTTCCTTTCTTGGCGGGATGTTGTGTGCTTATCGGCCAACATCGGCACATACTGAACTAGGCATAAGCGCATTGCATTGACTGCAAATGTGCCGGCAAGTGCAGTAGTGTGTGTGTGGTGACTCATGCAGTGCTACTGTCCTTGGCTAGAGACATGTTCAGTGCCAGTAGATCACCCACTGCTTGGAAGTCGGAGAAGTCCTTGAAATGCTTCCCCAGTGAAGAGGCAAAGCGATTGTTAGCGTCGAGTACGGTCTGACAGTCATCGGAAGCACTTCCTGATGCTGCTGCTGCCTCTATTGAGCCACCGCTACTGGCCTTCCCTCTTGCGAGTCTTCGGTCAGGGCTATTTGCAGCATCCAGCGGACGGTGCGGTGGCGGAGCACGGCCACCACCCCCACCCTGTGCTTGCTGTAGTAGCGTGGGCCCGCCGCCGTGGGCCGGAGAGTTTGTGCCACTGCGTGCAAGGCGTTGCGGACTTGCAGACTCAAGGGCATGCAGCTGGCCGGTTTGTCGGCTGCTGTCCGCGGCCAGGGCTAGTCGCGGAGCCGCTTCGTTTAGCACATGTACTGCTCTGCCAATCTGGTCACGCAGAGACTGAACCTGGTCCTCCAGCTGTACAAACAAGTGAGTGAATTACCAACAACATCATGGACAGTTGTGTCAATAATCAACATCATGCACAGTGTCTTATGACTGAACAAGTGAACGTCAACCTGATCCATGCAGCTAGGCAGTCTTTCTGCACAGACCATAATAAGGGATTTCCCCCACCATAAAGTCCACATTGCACACCGGTACCCGCGGGATGCAAGGTCCGGCTCGGTTAAGCACAAACTGTACAACCTCAACATACACAAACGCCATGGAGGACAATCAATCCTGTTTAATGAGATGTTGGCCATTGGGCCAACACGACACAGCCACTGCCTTGTGCCGTGTTGTTGGAAAGCCAATACTGTAATGAGCTAGACACACTGTAGCAAGTGTGGATGACAGGACGATATTGAATAGTCTTACCTCCTGCCTGGGTAAATCCGACACAGGTGTCTGCAATGACTGATCATCACTGGATACAGAAACACAACCAATCGGCACACACACACACACGCACGTACACACGCACACACACACACAGATACACACAGGCACACATTCACACACACGCACGCACACACACACACACACACACACACACCTTTGACCTTTGACCTTTGACGCCCATCGCCGGAGGCGATGATAGCAATGCTACGGCAGAAGCCATAGCAACTTGTGCTGGGATTGCACCATTCAACAGCTTGCAAGGCTGAAGAATTGACCATCACTATTCAGCCTGGTCTACACCATACAGCTATTTGAAGTGACTTTTTCTGGCCAGTGAATCCCTATTTTTGGTCTTTTTCTTTTTTCTTTTTTTTTCTTTTTTTTTCCCACACACACATCACACCACATACTCCGGCATGCACTGGCTGTTGGTAACCACCCAGGAGAATGAAAGAAAAGTCAGGAAGAGTCTGAGAAAGAGAAGAAAGACGTGTGTGACCATAATCGTCGGGAATCGAACCCGCAACCTATCGATTGGAAATCGCTGCACATACCACTGCACCATATGGGACACACACACACACACACACACACACACACACACACACAGATACACACAGGCACCCACACAAACACACACACACACATACACACACATACATGTACGCATGTACATGCATGCAGGTACAGGGAAGCATTGCTTTGACCCTTCAATACTGTCATTTTCAGCAATGCTATGAAGATAACATCTCAGGACTGCGAGTGTTAGGCTTTTTCGTCCCGAGTGCTATTTTAGTGTGAGACAGTGGAGATATCTGCATGCCGCATAACTCGCAGTATATTAATACTAGTACACAGATCACGCAGATCATGATGTTTTCACCTTATAGACCAATGGCACTGAAATACTAGTACCGTAAAAATAGAACAAATAATACAATAGTCATGTTTCCTGTTATGAGAGAGCATGGATTTTTTCCATGCGGAGAGACCAGCAATCTCAGTCGGTAGAGGATGAGACTCTAAAAATCTCAGGGTCGTGGATTCGAGCCCCACGTTGGGCGCTACTCGTCATCGGGTGCTAGACCGAACGATGGGCTTTTCCGAGGCTCCCTTTCACACACGTACTCAGCTCAGACCTGGTACAGTGGTCCCTCTATAATCCGGCACCATTTGTGCCACGAAAATCTGCTGGATTAGGGAGGGTGCTGGATTAACAAATCTGATTTACTGCTGCAATGTACATGAAGAGGACATTTTGGGTACTGAAAATTGTGCTGGTTTATCGAGGGTGCTGGATTATAAAGTGCCGGATTAGAGAGGGACGACTGTAGCTCAGACCTGGTAGCTCAGACCTGGTAGCTCAGATCTGGTAGCTCAGATCTGGTGGATCAGACCTGGTAGCTCAGACCCCATAGCTCAGACCTGGTAGCTCAGACCCGGTAGCTCAGACCCGGTAGTTCAGACCTGGTGGATCAGACCTGGTAGCTTAGACCCCATAGCTCAGACCTGGTAGCTCAGACCTGGTAGCTCAGACCTGGTAGCTCAGACCTGGTAGCTCAGACCCGGTAGCTCAGACCCGGTAGCTCAGACCCGGTAGCTCAGACCTGGTAGCTCAGACCTGGTGGATCAGACCTGGTAGCTCAGACCCCATAGCTCAGACCTGGCAGCTCAGACCTGGTAGCTCAGACCTGGTAGCTCAGACCTGGTGAATCAGACCTGGTAGCTGAGACCTGGTAGCTCCGATCTGGTAGCTCAGACCTGGTAGCTCAGACCTGGTAGCTCAGACCCCAAAGCTCAGACCTGGTAGCTCAGACCTGGTAGCTCAGACCTGGTAGCTCAGACCCCAAAGCTCAGACCTGGTAGCTCAGACCTGGTAGCTCAGACCTGGTAGCTCAGACCTGGTAGCTCAGACCTGGTAGACTGGTGAAAATGACCTGAACACTAGCAGAGCGTGACTAGCTCTTGCACTAGCCTGAGCTATACACACACACACACACACACACACACACACACACACACACACACACACACACACACACACACACACACACACACATGTACTTACAGGTAACGGTTTAAGTCCCGGACTTCTTTCTTCCATACTTCTTCATTGAAGTCATGACGACAGAACTCATCACCCGTACTAGTCGCAGTATTGCTAGCGTGACCGCCAGAGGAAGTGGCTACGCTGCTGCGTGGTGTCCTGGATGAGGCAGGACTACCGGTGGCTGATTCATCATCTTGCCGCTGTTGCTGCTGCTGTTGTTGTTGTTGTTGCTGTTGCTGTTGCTGTTGTTGTTGCTGTGGATGAAGATGGGGATAGCGCTGCTGGTAGTGTGGGGAGTATTGCCACTGAGTACCGCTCGTACCCTTTGCCTGCTGCTGCTGCGGTTGCTGCGGTTCAGCCGGCGGCACTGCTCCTACGAACGACTTTGCAAGCAAAGTATCTGTACAGGGTTCCTCATTCGACGAGAGCCTCTTGTGCGGCAGTTGCTCTCGACTGTCATGCCGGTTACTGCCACCTGATACCGGTGTTGGACGGATGTCAGTGTCGGCGTCTAGATGCTGCTGCTGCTGCTGCTGCTGCTGTGCCGCAGAGCCTGCCTTCAGGCTTGATGAACTCTCCTGCTTGCCGTGCTTGGAATACGCTGCCCAGCTGAAGTTTTGCGCCACGCGATCTGATACAGACGTGATGCGGTTCACTTCCTGCATGAGTTTTCCCTGTTCAGCCGCTTGCGCGCTCTGGTACAAGCAGTTTATAAGGTACACGTATATGTGCACATACACACACACGCACACATGCACACACATGCACACACACGCACACACACACACACACACACACACACACACACACACACACACACACACACATGCACACACTCAGACACGCTCACATACACACAAACACAAACACAGGACACATGAAAAACTATTGCTGCACTACCAAGTAATGACTAATAGAGGAGGCTCGATAAAAGAGGAGGAACATGTTCAAACCCGGCTAACTGCTTTCCTCTATCGGCCACACATATAGTAGCCAAGGAGAAGATAGGGACGTGTGAACAATAGGAGTGATTTCCACTTCCAAGCTAGCTGTCGCCCCTGCGGTGCAATGCCAATATCTGCATGACATATGCAAGAATCACAGCAATTGCTAATCAGGATTGATCAATACCAGCATGGCATGCACTTAGAGGTTAGCGGATGCAGCGTTGATTGAATTAAAGGTTGGACTTACTTCAGGGATGTCAGTGATGTGTCGCTTGAGTACTTCATGAAGAAATGCAATGTCTTTGCCGATATCTGGCTTTGCGAAAGGCAAACCGTCTAGGCCCTGCGGTGGAGGAAGCCTGCAGTATCGGAAACGCAACAAAGATAGCTGTGAGGTATATGTAACAGTCAATGGTGTTTGTGTGTGAGCGTGCGCGCGTGTGTGTGTGTGTGTGTGTGTGTGAGCGTGCGCGCGCGCGTGTGTGTGTGTGTGTTTGTGTGTGTGTGTGAGCATGTGTGTGTGTGTGTGTGTGTGTGTGTGTGTGTGTGTGTGTGTGTGTGTGTGTGTGTGTGTGTGTGTGTGTGTGTGTGTGTGTGTGTGCATAAGTCTGGCTACAAAGCCGCTTGAATCGTGACAGCACAGAAATGCATGATTTTAAATGCATGTCCTGTACCTTGGCAGCTTTGGTGTTTCAGCAGGACCAGCTGCAGCCAAAAACAACAGCATACACATCAGCACAGTCATGTAGCGAGTGTTGAAAATGCAAAGTACTGCCTTACTCCAAAAGAGCATGACCATTTGCAACAGCATCAGTAACAGCAGCAGCCAGTAACAGCATCAATAACAGCAGTAGTAACAGAGCTAGAAGCACCAGCAGCAGTAGTAGCCACTCCACCACTACCAACACCACCAATGACAATACCAAATCTAGCAACACCAGTGCCTCCAGCATCAGCAACAACAACAACAACAACAACAACAACAACAACAACAACAACAACTGCAGCAACAACTGCAGCAGCATCAATACTAGCACCAGCACCAGCACCAGCAACACCAGCAACACCAACATCAATACTAGCACCAGCACCAGCAACACCAACATCAGCAACATCAGCACCAGCATCAGCACCAGCAACTTGTGCCCAGTATATCATGGTATACAGTGCCGGGCACAACCCATCAAACAGCCATACATGTAGAAATGCTGGTACTCATAAAGAAAATGGTCTCCACATCACATGAATGTTGCACCACACACAAACGGACATCATGCACAATGCAATACAACACAGTGCAGTACATCACAATGCAGTACATCACAGTGCAGTACATCACAGTGCAGTACATCATAATGCAGTACATCACAGTGCAATACATATGTACAGTAAAGTACATTGACCCCCCCCCCCCCCCCCCCCACACACACACACACCTCGCTATGTCCCTTCCCAGCTGTTTTCTTGACAAGGGACGGGAATTAGATCAAGGCTCTCAAGTGAAGTACAGTAAAACCTGTCTAAGACAACAACTGCGCAAGGAACCTTCAATGTGCGGTCTCTGTTACCAGGTGGTCTCCTTATCCAGGGTCATTTGACTGGAAACAGCATCCCTTGGTCCTGGCTGCAGTGGTCGTCTGGGACAGATGGTCGCCTTATCCGAGTGTTCACCTTGACAGGCTTTACTGCACTACGTACCATTACCCAGAAAAGCAGAGTTGCTGCCATGCTGGATAGTGTGGATAGTGTAGGTTTTCATCAACATGCACACCTACACTGGCACCGTATCGTGAACAGCAGTGCATGCCTTGCGTCAACAGCCTCGTACTTTGATGTGTATACGCTGAAGTCGCTTCACGAGTAGACATTCGACAGGGGCGGAAACTAGAGAGGGGGGAGGATGAATGGTACTTTACGGTATTTGCAGCATCACTTACCGGAGACAGATGCGACACTGCTGATGTCCGGGGAAAGCCGCGACTCACTCTATGTGGATGATATGTGGCATAACAACAAGCACACACAGCACACAGCATTGCTCAGTGTACCGTAAACCGTGAAATTATTGCGATGGTCTAATTTCTGCGAAATACGCGACCGCGTGGAAATCGCGAAATTTAGACAGCGCGAAAAGGAGATCCATAGAAGGTTTAGCATGAATGCCACAGTAGCAAATTCTGCAATCGCAAATTTAAAACCTCGCAAACCTGTCCGGATTCTGAAAACGCGAACTAAAAACGCCGCGAAAATTTCACGCTTTACAGCATTCTGTGCAGTGAGCTATTGACAGTATACGTATTCACTTGTGCACTACATTGTACAGCGATATCATACTAGCACTGCTCTGCAGACTGGGGGTATTGAGCACTGTTTGAGCGGTGGAAGCTGCAGCAGCATACTAAACATCCATCACGTCATTACGGTCTACACAATACCTTCATCGTATTTTACCTAGCACTGAACCACGACAACCATGCCGTACCGAGCAGGACACACAGTCCTGCATTGCACTAAACCATTCGTATACATTCAGCATAGAGACTTGATATGCGAGGAATTTTTTTTCCTATTCTTCTTGTATTCGTACACCGCTGTGCACGGTGACGAGGTGTGGACTGTCTGTCTTACCGGTGCAGCATCCGGCAGAGAGCACACGCGGTCCAGATACGCTTCCACTCGGGCACGCTCTCGCGATATGAAGTCGTTTGTGAAGTGCAAGAACGCCTCACGGCTCTTAGACCTGCACAGCGGAAAGAGAGCGCGTGCAAATATTATACATTATATTCGGCAAAAGCTTGATATCCATACGATGACACACCACTGAGTGCATGTACAGGTCCAGGCACGGGATTCACAAAATGCCACAGTATATGGGGGGGGGGGGGGCGGGGCACCACACAATGCAACAGTATAGAGGGGGACCACCACACAATGCAACAGTATAGGGTGGAGGGAGGGGGGGGGGGGGGGGGGGGCACTACATTGGTGCGGCCACCAACGGGCGTGAGTCCGGGGCACTTCCCCGGGAAATGTTGGATCTGCAGGTTCAAATGGCCAGAAAATGGTCGAACTGTCAAACGATGGCACTTACTTAGTCAAGCTAGCCATGTTCTGCAGAACTTTGACGACGAGAATTAGCCGTCTCTCCACCTTGGATGTCCTGCGTGCATGGGTGACGTTGAACGTGTTTGGGTGTATCATGGCTGGGCAGATGAGCCTCAGGAACACCGATCCACTGTAGGCATTGAGACGCCACAATGAGCCGACGCATGCATGCACGCACACGCACATGTATAGAAACACCATACACCCAGTGAACACCTCTTAAAATCAGGCCAGTGTGCTCAATACCGAAGGAAGAGTGGTGACACAGGCTCGGCGGAACCGCTCCGGTTGGTCCAGCCATGGCCGGACCAACTTTTTGCCTACTGCTGAGAGGTCTTGTGTCATACCCGCCATGTCATACAAAAAAGAATGAAAGGCTAGGGTATGGCCGGACCAATCAAATATTACTTCCGCCGGTCCTGTGACACATAGGTCTGATTGCAATGAAGGGTGAGACGACATGACAAGTCACAACTCAGAGTTTCATACAGCTGGGTCAGCAATCATCAGGTGACTAAACCTGATATATGGAAATACCTGGACTATTTCACATATAGAGGGGTTTCACATCTCGGTCATGTGACTAAATTTATGTAGAAAGTGACGATGTCATGTGGACAGTGGAACCAACATGGCCGACATCACTGGACCCATAGAAGCAGGTGGAGTTGGAACCAACATGGCCGTCCCCTGTATGGTGGTCATGTGATAGATGTGAAACCACTCTATACAGTATAGTGCTCCAGTATGGTGCAGGGTGTGAGCACGAGCAGTCAGGTGAGAACTGGGGGGGGGGGGGGGGGCAGGGGCATAGCACCCACTACGACTGGTACGACCATGGCCGTACCACTTTTCGAAAAGTGTGGTCCGTCCGGAACGTGCGAAACCGTAATAAAAAAATCAGGATCCATCGATGCATATGCGCATCACACTTTGACCTTTTTCTAGACTCGTGCTCGTAGATCTGCCATGCATCTGCAGTCGTACTGAGTACTGTACTCGACTCGACTGCACACTGCACAGTCCCAGAACGCAGGATTTCGTGTCTTTTTTACAACAAAATTCTTCGGCCGCGCCGACCTTTGGTCGTACCACTTCCAAAACCCCTCCTACGCCCCTGGGAGGGGGGGGGGGGCTATGGACAAGATACAGACATCATCTCTGCATGCACACATCCCTAAGTTTTCTAGCTCACACCCTGGCTGTAGTGAATCTAACTTACTTCTTGAACCAGCATTGTGTTTGACTACACTCTGTACTAGTAGTATTGCTGTGCCCTATCTCTTCCCACAATGCCCATTGGTGTCTGACTGTCTGGTTGAAGTAGTCTTCTCCCCCTGCCCCCCCCCCCCCCGCCACACAACGACCGCACTTACACTTAGACCAAATATGACATCAGACACTGGACTCCACAAGACAAGAACCAAATACAACAACATGCGTAAATCAGAGTCGAACAGAAATCCGCAACATGGTGATACACTTCTTTTAGTTCTCTAGCCTTGTGACTGCTCTTAATCAGCGCCAATCAGCAGCTCTCCATCTAGCTTCCCCTAGCTTCCTCCATTACTCTACACCCTTCTTCGCCTGCCATGAGCATGTATTTTAACCTTAATCAGTAACATAGCCACTGGATCTGGGAGCCTTTGCAAAGATGCTTTATGCGAAGTTCAAAGCCCAAGTTTTCGATGCAATGCGTATTGCAAAACTGCTTGTCTATATCTTACGCAACAAGTCTTCTTGAAACATCCTGGTTCATGAGAGCGTTTAGGAGAATTCGTATCTTGTACAGGGTTGCGCTGAGCTCTCTACACAAGATGCACACATGTGAAGAGCAGGCACACAGCAAAGACACACACCCGCACACGAATCCTTCATGGTCTTCATGCTGAAAACTGCAGTAGCACCTCTGATTAGAGTAGGCACCGCTGCAAAGAAGTCTCTTACGCAATCTGATCACAGTCTTCTGAATGGGAATAGAGGAAGACTGTGCGGCACAGAGCTGCTGCTGCTGCCAACATGCACATATGTACACTGTACATGTATGTAGTGCAACGGTACATTCTGTTACCGCACTATGTAGACAGTAGCACGGGTCCATAAACAAACTACACACACAACCACGCGCACACACACACACACGCACACACACACGTACCCCCCCCCCCCACACACACACACACAAACACAAAAATATACACCCACAGGGCCATTCGCACAAATACGAGTTCACACGCATACACACTCACCTGACCTTGCTCTTTTCAGTTTAATTAGCATTGAGTGGGGTTAGGATCAGTGCAGCACTGGGCCCACACAGGTGACAGCACACAGGAGAAACGATTCAATTTACCTTGGGAAGTCTGCGCTGGTAGAGTTCAGGCGACACCAGATCTTCTCGACCATTATGATCAGATTGGCCTGGTTATTCAGCAGCGAACTATTAGGGAAGTTCGGCGGAAGTTTCGATGGATCAACCTAGAAGAAAGTGCCCAACAAGATTGAACCCACACGCATGTTCCAGAGAGACAGAGACACAGACAGACAGACAGACAGACAGACAGAGGAAGAGACAGAGACAGAGACAAAGAGAGACAGAGAGAGACAAATGCAAAGAGAGACGGATACACAGAGAGACAGAGAGACAGAGACAGAGTGTGGGTGTGGGTGTGTTGGTGTGTGAGTTAGAACGTGTCAACGGGATATTTGCATGTCTTCAATGGTCCACAGCACGGAACTACAGCGACAAGAGATGAAGGGTGAACCAAGGCAGGGACTTCTACAACAACTATCAGGTACTCACAAGTATTCTTGGCAGATGAACCCCCGGCCTCGAATTGAGTACATACCCTGTACATCACGACCTTTTTGTTGCATTCGAAGCAACTGATCCGGTCCGCTACCTTTCTAAACCACCCTGCCCCAGTTTACCTCTGAGTTTTGGATACCATATTTTCCGGAGTATAAGGCGCACTGGAGTATGAGCTGAACCCAGATTTTTTGTCACGATATACAGACATGTACCGTGTTTATCACCGTTAATCAGTTGACCATTGTAGTATATGCCGCACCGACTTTTTTTGAGTGAATTCCCACTGGTGCATCAAGTGCGGCTTATACTCCGGAAAATACGGTAAAAACTCTACACCCTGTCCCAGTTCATTGTTGGATAAGTGCACTGTGCATTCTGGCATATGCATCAGTTTGTCAGAGTTTGGACACAAAGCACACCAGAGAGTCAGAGCATCACACAAGTAAACTATACGGGCGACTGAATACTAAATCATGTGGGGTTCGACCACAAGCTGCCCTTTTACTGTCACCCCTGGGTCAGGGCGAACTCATGCATGCTCGCATATGGCAAGTTGCATAGACAACGGAGCCAAGGTCGAACACACATTTTGGGCAAGCTACAACTTCCTGCTGACTAGCAGCAGCACGCTATGACTCCCTGCTGACTAGCAGCAGCACGCTTTGACTCCCTGCTGACTAGCAGCAGCACGCTATGACTCCCTGCTGACTAGCAGCAGCACGCTATGACTCCCTGCTGACTAGCAGCAGCACGCTATGACTCCCTGCTGACTAGCAGCAGCACGCTATGACTCCCTGATGACTAGCAGCAGCACGCTATGCCTCCCTGCTGACTAGCAGCAGCGGGCTATGACTCCCTGCTGACTAGCAGCAGCACGCTATGACTCCCTGCTGACTAGCAGCAGCACGCTATGACTCCCTGCTGACTAGCAGCAGCACGCTATGACTCCCTGCTGACTAGCAGCAGCACGCTATGACTCCCTGCTGACTAGCAGCAGCACGCTATGACTCCCTGCTGACTAGCAGCAGCATGCTACAACTCCCTGCTGACTAGCAGCAGCACGCTACAACTCCCTGCTGACTAGCAGCAGCACGCGCTATGACTCCCTACTGTACACGGAATGTACACGATGTACACTAAGTCACACTTTCCAATGGTCTCATAAAAGAGGTGGAAAGCACAGCATTTGTCTTTGTGCGTAGCCATAACAACCATGGTGGTCTTCTGTGGCAAGTCTCATGATCATAGTCTTTCCCCTACTTCCCTCACTGGTTGTTTGTGAGTTCTCCTTGGGGTGTCGGAGATATAACACCCACACGGTTTTACAACACTGCTATTTGGGTGCTGGCTGGGGCACGGGGAACATAGTACCAACACTGTGTGGCAGCAACACTGTGTGGCAGCAACACTGTGTGGCAGCAACACAGTGTACAGCAGCACAGTGTACAGCAACACTGTGTGGCAGCAACACTGTGTGGCAGCAACACTGTGTGGCAGCAACACAGTGTGGCAGCAACACAGTGTACAGCAGCACAATGTACAGCAGCACAATGCACAGCACAATGTACAGCACAATGTACAGCACAATGTACAGCACAATGTACAGCAGCACAGTGTACAGCAGCACAATGTACAGCAGCACAATGTACAGCAGCACAATGTACAGCAGCACAATGTACAGCACAATGTACAGCAGCACAATGTACAGCAGCACAATGTACAGCAGCACAATGTACAGCACAATGTACAGCAGCACAATGTACAGCAGCACAATGTACAGCAGCACAGTGTACAGCAGCACAATGTACAGCAGCACAGTGTACAGCAGCACAATGTACAGCACAATGTACAGCAGCACAGTGTACAGCAGCACAATGTACAGCAGCACAATGTACAGCAGCACAATGTACAGCAGCACAATGTACAGCACAATGTACAGCAGCACAATGTACAGCAGCACAATGTACAGCAGCACAATGTACAGCACAATGTACAGCAGCACAATGTACAGCAGCACAGTGTACAGCAGCACAATGTACAGCAGCACAGTGTACAGCAGCACAGTGTACAGCAGCACAGTGTACAGCAGCACAGTGTACAGCAGCACAATGTACAGCACAATGTACAGCACAATGTACAGCACAGTGCACAAACACAATGTGGCAACAGCAACACAGAGTGAACTAACCTCCACGTCACAATCAAACCCGTAGATGTCGATCATGGCTTCTCTCAACGCTACTCGCAAATACTGCAGGGCAAAATTAATAGTCACACAGATACCCGCATAAGCACAAAGTGACACGAACACACACACGCACACGCACATGCACACGAACACATGCACGTGCACACTCACATGAGCACAAACACACACATGCAAACAAACAGGCGCATACACACACAGTGAAAAACAAGCCTTTGCACTAGATACAACATCATCAGCATTGGTAAAATCAGCAACAGGTAAGCAGTAAGCGCCATTCATAATCATCAGAAGTAGAGGCGGCAGCAACAGTAGCCACAGCAGCAGCACCACTACCAGCACCACCACCAGCAGCACCAGCACCAGCAGCACCACCACCAGCAGCACCAGCACCAGCAGCACCACCACCAGCAGCACCACCACCAGCAGCACCACCACCAGCAGCACCAGCAGCACCAGCACCTACAGCAGTAGCAACGGCAGCGGCTCTGGCAAATGTTTTGCAGGTCTGGCAGAACTCACATCTGAAAGCACGATGCGCATATGGCACTCCATGAGCTTGGATGCAAACGTGTTTCCGCGGAATATCATACTGACGCTGTCTGTAGTGGAAAAAAAGATACAAAAAGACAATCACAATCAGTCTCAATACTCCTTGCCAGTTTTGTGCCATTTTGTCACACTCACTTGTGCCATTTTGTCACACTCGCTGACTGTATATGATCTGGTTATGTTGGTGGACAGTTAGTCATAACACGTAACATTTGTCCTTCTCCTAAAGACAATCACCATCATTTTTAAACAACTAACATGACAGCTGCACAGCAATACAGTGTCTTCGTTGATGTTGTACAGTGCTGTAAACCAGACTCGGTACGAATCCTTCCAGCATAGACAGTGAGTGCGTTCGATTATGCCCGCGAATCGATTCATGAATCCATCACCCTATGTGAATAGGGTGAATGGATTCCGAATCGATTCCAGGGTTCATGACATTAAATCAAACGGCGAGATTCCATTCATGAATCGATTCAAGTGCATAATCGAACGCAGCCAGTGAGACCATGAGCCATGAAGGAAAGTGAGCTATAAAGACATGATGGACAAGGAGTCGCGAGATCATAAAAAAAAACACTCCTCAATGCATTGCTTGTAGTACACACTGACAAGCATGCAGTTTATGATTTATACACCATCCGATTTGCTCAATCCTTGCTGGGAAATGCAAAATGTGCTGTACACGCATCTTACCAAGCCCTTTGACCTCTTCAACCACAACCTCGGCAACAAAGTCACTGGCCTTTCCTGCCGCACCAAGGATCTTCATCATGCTGTACGCAAAGTGCTCCTAGAAACAAACAAACAATGTGATAAGGGCAACATTACAGCTTGTAGAAAACATACTGTATTTGCTGGTTCCAAGCCGACCGAGTATGGGGTCTGAAGAAGGGCTGGACCAAGTATGGGGTCGACAAAAACCGTGGTCAACTTACACCTGGTACAATACTATTATGGTACTTCATGTGCGGGGGGAGGGGGGGGGGGGTGCTTAGTTGCAGTGTAGGATAATGTGTGCCACAGGGGTATTCAGACACAGAAATCCAACTGCACAGATGGACGTTATGCAATGCCACCCATAATTCAATTCATACATCCAGCCAGGGTATTACTATTTCGTCAACCGAAAGTGCTAGCTCTTTCCAAAGAAAAAAATGGTTCAGTAGATCTGCCAATATCTGGAATGTTACTTCAACAAGTGAGAGTTAGTTACTGAGCATGAGGATGACAAACCGCTACTTGATCCCGTTGAAAAAGTAGCACAAAATAGAAAAAAATGACAGGACCAATGCACAGATGGACAGCACTGATCTGTGCATGATCCAGGCAATTTTCAAGGTTCTATGGTAAGAACCTGGAAGTGAAATGTAGGAAAGAATGCCATGAGGGGAGGGGGAGCTGACTAGGTCTGCTGGAATGGAAAAAGAAGTGAAACTTTTGGGTGAAAGAAAGAGAGAGACAGAGAGAGAGAGAGAGAGAGAGAGAGAGAGAGAGAGAGAGAGAGAGAGAGAGAGAGAGAGAGAGAGAGAGAGAGAGAGAGAGAGAGAGAGAGAGAGAGAGAGAGAGAGAGAGAGAGAGAGGGAGGGAGAGGGAGAGAGGGAGAGGGAGAGAGGGAGAGAGAGAGAGGAGGCAGCGAGGGAGGGGATTCTTCTGCATGCATAACATCTTGAACAACCTAGACCTTCATACCTTTGAGTGTGGCTTCATGTGCGGCTCAAATACATCACACACAAGTCGAGGGTTATTCACAACAAGCTGTAGACACGGAAGAGACAACAGCAGCAGTGAGACAACGTCAATACCACCTACCGCCACTACATGCACATTGATTATCAAGCTATGCGCAACCTACTGACAACTCTTCAAGTATATCACAACACATGTGCACAAACACGTGCACAAACAAACACGCATATTCACACATATACGCGCATGCTCACACACATACAAACACAGGGTCAGGTCATGGCCTGACCAAGCGGACCGGTTCCGCCGGGCCTGCACATGCACATGCTCACACACTTGTACTTGTACCGTACTTTCTCACAGCCATGACTGGTCACGTGAGTCTCCACCGAAGGGGGGGGGGGGGGGAGAGGGATTCAAAAGGAATCTTGGAAAGATGACTCAATTGGCTATTGAACCGCCCAACGGCCGACACACCCTGAAATCCACAAACTCTGGGTGGACTTGCAAATTATCCCACTTATGGGCTCACCACACCTCAGTAAGTGGGTGAGGACAAGGCGCAGAAAAAGGATTGATGGCATCAGGGATCCAACTGCAGTTACCCCTGCCCCCAGCGAGGGTAATACTTGCTACACATGCACCCACACACCCCCCCCCCCCCACACACACGCACACACACACACGCACACACACACACACACACACACACACACACACACACACACACACACACGCACGCACACGTACACACACACACGTACACACACACACACACACACACACACACACACACACAACATCCATGGCTTTCTTACTTCCACCAGTTTGCCGTAGAACTCCAGCGGAAGGACCACCAAATGCTGCACAAGATTGACATAAGAAGCGGAGTAAAAACCCTGACTATACTCTATCCATATTCCAGCACATAATCCCACTACATGCGTGCGTATTGACAAGTACTGTTCTGGCCAGAAAATTTCGACCCCATGAATATAGTAGTGCCGCAGTGGAGTGGAGAGAACAGTGTGTGTAGTGCTGGGGATGTGCACTGTACACCCTATACACCTGGCGCAAGAGAAGCACACAAATCTGCAAATGCACTGGATGTGCACCCACCATTTTAACCCTTATAGCAACGATAGCGGATCTAAATCTGAATGAAATACCCAGATGCACACGCGCGCGCACACGCACACGCAAACACACACACACACAAACACACACACACAACACACAAACACACACAAACATACACAGACACACGGACAGACACACGGACAGACACACGGACAGACATACGGACAGACAGACAGACAGACACACACACACACCAAAGACTAGCTCAGCAATGATGCACTCTTACATAGTAGAGAGTTGTGGTTAGAATTGATAGACCAGTACCTTCCATTGCCGTCCTAGAAATTACACACACATATACACACACACACATCCACATACACACACATGTGCACGTACACATACAGATACAGACACACACACACGCACACACACGTACACACACACACACGCACACACACACGTACGCACACACACACGCACACGCACACGCACACGTACACATACACACAATCAAAAACGCAAAGAAACAAGCACTATGTATACGCCCGTCGCAAGAGAAGCACGCAAATCTGCAGATGCACTGGATGTGCACCCACAGACTTTGTCTTATAGCGGAAAAGATCTGAATGATACAGATCAAGACTAACGCCAGATAACTGTCTAATCCACATAACTGGCGAAGCCATGTGAATCGACCCCCCCCCCCACACACACACGCGTCGGTGACCGTTTCTTGCTACAGTAGGCACGTACCATTCCGTTTTCTCCTCTCCTGAAGTCATACCGGAGCGCACGTCAATCACAACTTTACCCAGCGGCACAGCTTGATGGATATCACCTGACTTCGATCGTTGTCGCGGTGATGGAGCATGGCCGTCTCTGAACAGTTTGATAGTAACAGACTTCATATACGGCACAGCCCTGTAGCAGGGTAGCACACAGAGCATACGCACAAGTAACAGTGAGAAGTCACAGGTACAGTAGAATGCAGACTATCCAAACATCAGGTGTCTGAACGATCAATTATCTGAAAGGCCAGTTTCCATTGAATTGAAGGGATGAAAATAAGGTTTTTGCTCATTTCCCTCACCCAAAGCACCATTCAAGCGGTGCAAGAGATGTTTTGCAACAGGTTGGAGTGGCAATGTATCGCCTTAGAGTCATTTTGAGGAGCTAGAGTTTGTCTAGGTCCTGTGGAACTGCCGGAGACAATGAGAAATGATGGAAACATGAGGGAATGTGCATATCTTAGATGGATGTGTGACTGCTCCCTTATCCGAACTTTCTCCCCATTCGAACCTCCAGGAAACCACCTGTGCCCTGACCGGTGCGGATAACCACCACTCTACTGTACATATAATGGTGAACGCAGAGAGTGCGGTACGCGATGCACACATTCATGTGCCAACATTCACCCCTTCAGAACTCCACCATTTCGGAGAGGAGATTCTACTGCCACACACAGTCCATGTCCACTGCCAGGATCTTCATAAAGTCCACCAGCCGGCACAAATCTACGAAGCAGTCATCCCTCAATATCCAGACAATAAGTCTAAGCTGCATTGGGTGACAAGCACAGTACTTTTAATATAGAAAATAAAAAGGACCAAGGAACTACAAGTTACGCTATAATGTCCACTAACACTACCAATTACTAAACAATCAGCTCATGCGATAACATTGCACGACACTGACCGACGGTACTGATGTTCTACAACTAACTGGCTATCAGCTCTAGCACTTCTTGGGTAGTGTTAGCGGACATTATAGCGTAACTTGTAGTTCCCTGGTCCTTCTTCTTTCCTATAATTTTTTCCTTGGCTCTACATCCCAGTCTATTCAAGCACAGTGCTACTCAATGAAATCCGATCAAGCGGGTGAATGCCACGCTGGGCGGGCGCTGTGCAGTCCTGGACCTGCGAATAGTGGGATGGGACCTCGTGCACGGTGCAAACTTGATTCACGCGATCGGAGTTTATTGAGCAGCAGCAGCATTGTAGTATGCTAGTAGTGCAAGCCAACTTTAATAGCAGCACTGCAGTGCTGCTAGTAGTGCAAGCTACCTCTACTGGCGGCACTGCAGCAAGCTAGTACTGGCAGCACTGCAGCATGCTAGTACTGGCAGCACTGCAGTATGCTAGTACTGGCAGCACTGCAGTATGCTAGTACTGGCAGCACTGCAGTATGCTAGTACTGGCAGCACTGCAGTATGCTAGTACTGGCAGCACTGCAGCATGCTAGTACTGGCAGCACTGCAGCATGCTAGTACTAGCAGCACTGCAGCATGCTAGTACTAGCAGCACTGCAGCATGCTAGTACTAGCAGCACTGCAGTATGCTAGTACTAGCAGCACTGTAGCATGCTAGTACTGGCAGCACTGCAGCATGCTAGTACTGGCAGCACTGCAGTATGCTAGTACTAGCAGCACTGCAGCATGCTAGTACTAGCAGCACTGTCGCATGCTAGTACTGGCAGCACTGCAGCATGCTAGTACTAGCAGCACTGTCGCATGCTAGTACTGGCAGCACTGCAGCATGCTAGTACTAGCAGCACTGTCGCATGCTAGTACTGGCAGCACTGCAGTATGCTAGTAGTAGTGCAAGCTAACTCAGATATCCACCGACTTACACCTGGAACTGGTCATTCCACGTCACCGCATCGTTCTCTAGTGCATTGCTTGCTGTGCGACTATACAGTCTGTTGTTCACTTCAAAGTCACAGAAGTAATATCTAACAAGACACAATAAACACATAAACACACATACGCAAATAAACACATACACACATACACACATACGCAAATCAACACATACATACATACACACACACAAACACACACACACACAAACACACACACACAGTAGCGATAGCATCATCATGAACGTCATCATCAGCAGTGGTGGAAACAGCAGCAGCAGCAGCAGTGGTTGAAACTTGAAAGAGAAACGGCAGCAACAGCACCAGCAGCCACAATAGCAGGAGAAGCAACAAAAGTACCAGCAGCAGCAGCAGCAGCACCAACAGCAGCAGCACCAGTAGCAGCAGCAGGAGCCGCACTAGCAGCATCACAAGTAGCAAGAAAAGCAGCAGTGGTGGCAGAACATAACAACAACCAATAAATGAGAGTTTTCCTGATTTTCTTTCCTGAAGCATACAGTACTAGTAATACGGAACTGAGACCTTAGGCCCTACTGTAAGTCTTACAAATGTTCGGCCCATTCAAATTTCGGCCTCCCAGGGCTAAACCCCATTTCGGCCACATCAAATTTTCGGCCTGCACTGCTGCCGCCTGTATACACTGTCACACTGAACCTTGCAAAACAGAATTTAGGCCACAATATATTTTCGGCCAAACATGACCAGGCCGAAAGTAGGTGAAAAATAAATATGCGCCGAGTATTTGTCGACTTACAGCATTATGCTGCATAAGGCAAGCCAGTATGTGTCCATTCGGCAAGAAAGTGTTTGAAGAGCAACAAGTCTGTTCGTACTCTAAACCACTTTCATCAAATTCCAAGAAGGTGTGCGGGCAAGAAAGGGACATTGTGTTTGTTCTCTAGCATGGTTATACTGGCACATACTGACACATACTGTAAGTCGACACTGTGTGGAACTGGAGAACATCACATACCGCTGGCACAACACATGATGGTGTATAAAAAACACATGACGGTGTATAGACAACACATGACAGTGTAAAGACAACACAATCATTAAGGTGTGTAGAAAACACATGATGGTATATAGAAAACACATGACGGTGTATAGAAAACACATGACGGTGCATAGACAACTCACCCTTTACTCTTCCCACCGTCTTTCATTCCCTTAGCGTTGGCCAAGCGAAGACTGTAGTGATAGATGTGCCGGACGTCTTGTGGGTTCAGTCCTTTCTGCGGGGAAATGTGCTCTCTCTTAGCCTCTCCTATTTGGCGGTCAATTCTGCACACGGAGGGAAAAATGGTCTAAAGAAATACATGTCTATCCAGTTGTACTGTGTTGATTTGAGTAATGTAATGGTATTCGGCGTGGTGCACGTGAACACACTTGTGTTTCTGATGGCATGCATGCGTGTGTGTGCGTGTGTTTGGGTATTTGAGTGTGTTTGAGTATTTGAGTGTGTTTGAGTGTGTGTGTGTGTGTGTGTGTGTGTGTGTGTGTGTGTGTGTGTGTGTGTGTGTGTGTGTGTGTGTGTGTGTGTGTGTGTGTGTGTACATATGAAGATGGAAGAAGGAGTAAGAAAGAGAGAGAGAGAGAGAGAGAGAGAGAGAGAGAGAGAGAGAGAGAGAGAGAGAGAGAGAGAGAGAGAGAGAGAGAGAGAGAGAGAGAGAGAGAGAGAGAGAGAGAGAGAGAAGGAGAGAGTGAGAAGGAGAGAGAAGGAGAGAGTAAGAAAGAGTGAGAAGGAGAGAGAGAGAGAAGGAGAGAGTAAGAAAGAGTGAGAAGGAGAGTGTATACAGGTATAGGGGCTGCACAAAACTTGCACAAGTACTAGTCTACACACTGTACAGCAGGGAGCAGCGCTACTTTAATATCAAATCCTACACAGAGTTAGTAAGACGTGTAGCGTACCTCTCTATCCACACCTCCTTGGCATCGCTGCTCGGCGCGGAGAAGTATAGGCCACCAGAATTGGCAAAGGCAATGTAGAAACAGTGCTCCGAAGGGCTGATGCTGGAATGTAGAGTGTCAACGCGAGGTGGAGGGTTCAGGGCTAGATTCACCTGCCACACACACATCAACCACATTTAACAATTATTATAGCAGTAACACATACACATCTATATCTGAGTTGAATCAACAAATAGGCTTGTTCACAAAGCGTCAGAACATACATTGAATTATGTTGCTGTCCGGGACCTGGACAACGGTCACCATTGTAGTACTGTGGACGCCTCCATCATCTAAAGGAAGAATACTATGGCTCCAGGCTTGTTTGGTGAGGTTTGCCGCTTCAGGAACTGCTTGTCAGAGAATTTACTTTAACAATAATTCCTTCCTGTCCTACGTTAGGGAGTCTATTCGGGGCTTTGCAAAGTGAGACGGATTTAAAAACATATATCTCCCAAGTCAATGAACCATGGACAATGTGGAATATGCTTGCAAACATGCTTGCACTACGGCATCAGGGTCACTGCATTAAAAAACGGCTGCAATTCACAATCCTGGTGCGGAGCAGTGTTCATATCAACAACATTACTACAGTGCTGCTCAGTAGAATCTGATTCAGTCAGTCAGCGTTGCGCTCTGCATCACTGTACACTGCAGTGTGGGCAGGTCTAGGGCTGCACAGTGCCATGCACCAGTATTCTGTACAGTGCAGTGTTTGTAGGTCTAGGACTGCACAGTGCCCTGCACCAGTGTACTGTACAATTCAGTGTAGGCAGGTCTAGGGCTTCACAGCGCCCACGGGGTGTGAGCTTGACTAATGCGATCGGATTTCATTGAGCAGGACTGTACACTCACTATGACCACGCTGCATAGTTGTTAGCCATGTACAGGAAATAGAATGATCACCCCTATGTACAGGAAATAGAATGATCACCCCTATGTACAGCACATAGAATGATCACCCCTGTGTACAGCACATAGAATTATCACCCCTATGTACAGCACATAGAATGATCACCCCTGTGTACAGCACATAGAATTATCACCCCTGTGTACAGCACACAGAATGATCACCCCTATGTACACACGGAATGCAACAGAGACATACTGTGGTGTTCGGATCTCCAAACGATGTTGTGGCATCTAGGGAGTCGAGAGAGTGATGAAAGCTTTTCTGAGTTGTCAACGCACTGCAGAAGACAGTGAAGAACACATAACCAGCATTGAGCAGCGCCGTATATCGGTATGCTGTACCTGGTGAAATCCAAGCCTGTTCATTCTCCGGGCCAGCATGCTTCAGAACCAGGCTTCTGTACAGTGCTGATGTCTTCGTCTGGGTGTACTGCTTCAGCATAGCACACACTCTAGATCCAAACAGCCCCGTACATGTACCGTAAAGTACCGCCAGAGCGCCCCACCATCTCATCCTTTCGTGGTCGTATTGTGGAGGTGGTCTGCTGTCTGTTGGTCATACGACATGAACCTTGTACACATATTGCACGTTTTGCAGTCAATCCGTACCTTCAAGCAGACGCAAGCTCCACACAAAAATCTGCCAAGTGTGACCTTAGTACACTAAGATTCTCACATCGTACAAACTTCGTTGCAGTCTGCCGTACGATTGTCCTTTCTCTGTCTGTAAAATCAAGGTGGGGCGCTCTCGCGAGATGGGGCGCTCTGGCGGTGCTTTACGGTACATACAATGCATGCCCCTACACCATACTTCTGACCAGGTAGTTCACAGACACTGTTCATGCCTACCTTCGGCGCCTCGATCGCTTTGTCTCCTCATCTGCCTCAGTGGCAGCAGAAGACTTGGCTCGTGGCTCCACTACAGACCTCCTGGAGTGAACTTCACCAGACCTTCGTGTGAGACTCTTGCTGCGCTTGATAGATGCTCGGAAGCGTGTCTGAACCCAGAATAGCAGCAATCGGGATATGGATATAGCATAAATAGGGATACATTGATTGACTCGGTGTGACGAACACTGTGAGTAAGCACTACGCACTAGAAGCTGCGCGGAACCAGTATAGAAGCAAATATTTGAGGCATACATACTTGTATTTTCTTCACGATACATGAGCAAAGACATACGCCAATCTTGTGGACCAAGCAGGTAATCCTACACACACAAAGTGACGTTACCCCACTCATCGAACAGCTATACCATCATAGTTACCTATAATGATCGCTTAGAGGGTGCCAGGTAAGAGTTGTAATTGGGGATTTCCCCTTTCCCCTTCCTACGGCATGTACTCACTCCTATCCGTGTGAAAGTCGTTGCACCGCTCTTCACAGCAGGAGAGAAGCACCCATTTGCATCTAAACACACACGTATACACACACATACACACGTATATACGCACACATACACACACACACATACACACACGTATACACACACACACATGTACATACATGCATGCACACCCACGCATACACATACACACATAAACACACGTACCATGTACACACACATGCACACATATGCACATACACATGCACACATACACGCACACAAGCAAACACACACACACACACACACACACACACACACACACACACACACACACACACACACACACACACAGGTAAACACGAAGAGGAAAACAGTTCAAAACACATGAGCAATCTGACCAACTTTGAAGTGCCTTCAAGAGATGAATAAACAAAAGTCTAAAGATTCAGGGACGTCTCTAAAAGAAAGGCCACACAAACAAGGCAACAGTTCATACGACTATCCAGATTGGTACACCACTCATTTACTCACTCACATCATCTTCTCCATCTATCCAATGAGTCTCTCACTTACCTAGGTTTACATCAGTCTCAAAGAATCCATCATGGCTGCCCAGAACAAGAGGTTCCAAAGTGGAAGGAGACCACATACTCTGCATACACAATCATACCACACAGCATGCATAGACAGTCACACAGCATGCATAGACAGTCACACAGCATGCAGACACAATCATACCACACAGCATGCATAGACAGTCACACAGCATGCATAGACAGTCACACAGCATGCAGACACAATCATACCACACAGCATGCACACACAAGCATACCACACAGCATGCACACACAAGCATACCACACAGCATGCACACACAATCATACCACACAGCATGCACGCACAATCACACCACACAGCATGCATACACAGTTATACCACACAGCATGCATACACAGTTATACCACACAGCATGCACACACAATCATACTTTAAATTACATAGTCAGTACACAGCAACTGACATCAAAACACATGTAATGCATTATATAGTGCTAGAGTCAGTGCCACACACTGACACCAGGGTAGTACTGTGCCCAATGCCCTTATGACTACATGTGCACAGCATAAGCACCACTGTGACCCACAATGCATCACAGTGCTACAAATACACACAAGAGCGTGTAACTACTTGACTGTATGACTGGGAGTCAACCAGTGTACGGCACACGGTTGCCTCCTCCAATCAGCACCAGTCAAAATGATACACGCCTTCAAAGGCCGGATTGGAGCACATCAGAAAACCAACAGTGGCTACAAATATCACAAAGAGGAACAGTTACTCCGAACAGTCAAGCGGCGTTAGGGAGCATGACGGTCACTATAATTCACCATGTACCAATGTACCGATGTTCCGATGTACCAATGTGCTGGCTCTACACACACAGCGCATGAGAAGCTGTTCAGCTGTAACCTCCAATTTTGTTTTATCTACTTGTAGCAATCAATCATCAGAGAGCAATTACTACTCCCGATTTTCTGAGCAGGTCTAGATAATGGTGGCTGGTGTGTGATCCAATGCACACACGCGTGAATGTGAAAATCCGCACACTTGGGTGAGTATGAGAGTCAGTGTCCATGTACTGGACTGAATGTTGGATCAAAACCAAGGACATCACAAGCGCAGTAAGTATAGAAAAACTACATCCAGAGTTGATTACATCACCATAGGTGATAAGCTGTAGCTGTATGCCATACTAAGGTATAAGTGATAAGCTGTAGGTGTGTGCTATACTAAGTAATAGGTGATAGGCTGTAGCTGTGTGTTATACCAAGTTATAGTTGATAGAGAAAGTTACTAACGTGTCGGTGTTGCTAGTAACTTGCCACAGCTCGTGTCAGGTGACGGGGAGATGTAACCTTTGTTGGATATGTACAAATTGTCACTGCGTCTGCTTTTCCAGCTCAGATCCATTGTTGGTCACTTAGTGCGTGAAACTGTTAAGTTACCGCCCAAGAACATCTCAGGTGTGTGTGTGTGTGTGTGTGTGTGTGTGTGTGTGTGTATGTGTGTGTGTATGTATGTATGCGCGTGCGGTGCTGTATCTACGTGTTGATGTTGCTCTGCTATGTGAACAACTTGTGTTTGTGTTGCCACGACTAACGCTGATTGTTTGGCTCCTTGCTCTACGAGTGTAGTTGAATAGTTTTCTCGTACACATATGGATATTCTACCCCTCCCACAAAAACACCAACACACACACACACACACACACATACACACACACACTGGGCACGCAACTGGTGCCTTACATTCGGGCTGGCAAAGAAGCGTATCCTCCGTTCATCCTCAGAAAGAGCACAGTAGCGCTTCTCCCATCGGCCAACCTCCGGGTCCTCTGTTAGGGTCAACACCAGAAACCGCAACTTTATGAAATGATCCCTAAAACATGGCTTATTTGGCTAACGTCGGTGTGCATCACTGTTTGAATGTAGGGGTGATCACTGATAAGCCTGATCAGATCGATCAAGATCATCAGAGAACACGTTTAAAAGAACTAGCCCAAAATAGTTGTATAATCAGGACAGGACAGCACTACAAGACCTCTGGTCACCCCTCGTAGATGCAACACCATTGCCGGCATTGGCAGATTGCAGTACTCTCATACCACACTGTTTCACAGTCTGATTAAGAACAGAACACTGTTGCACTACTCCACAGACTCCTATTCAGAGGTACACGTATAGCTAGAATTTCCTTGGCATAGGGTCAATAGAGTGGTTTCACATCTCAGTATCACATGACCATACAGGACAGCCATGTTGGCTCCAACTCCACTCAATCCCTGCATCTATGGGTCACATGACGTCAGCCATATTGGTCCCAGAGGTCAGTTTGTACCGGCAAACCTTTCCCAACTGTTGTCATTTTCTCTCAGCCGGTCAGTGCCACGGTTCTAGCTTCAAAGCCGCCCATCTAGACAACACACATGCAATCCTGCTACAAGAGTATTGGTCGTGGTGCAGCGTGAAGCATGATGCACATCGTCACGTCAGCATGCGATAAGCGATCAGCGATACAATTGAGAGTTCTTTCTCTTCATCATATTGCTTCCCTGGTTGTCGCAGCTCTGTCACAGGCTGCATCGCTGGAAGTTCACCCAAACTCAGCTTCGGCAATTAGCGACCATAGATGTACATAAATCTCTATATGGCAGAAGCATATGACTCAAGAGCCCAGGTTTACGCGCAGCTTTGGGTTTCACTGCAATGTGCCGTGCATTGTACATGGCATCCCATGAGAAATTCTTCACATGACCCGAAAAAGAAAATCGGCTGAAGTTCATTGCACCGCAGACGTGTTTTTTCGCACTGTACTTTTAGTTGGATCACCGACGTGTTACATTGCGCTCTTTGTTGATTTTCGCATCATTCCCTTTCAAAGTTGAAAAAGACCCTGACACAATGCATGATTTGACCATATATAACCCCCATGACACATTGTCTGTATGTAGAGACTGTACTGGTGAATTGACCTGTACACTGGGTCAGTACAGTAATCGAGTTCATAATGCAAGTACTAGTATCCAGTAAGACCTGAACGTGCGCTAAGGACCTCACCCAATAATTATGTACCTAGAATTCGTTCGTTCGGGCCTGGTTTAAATCTGGCTTTGGAAAATGTATTTTTCATTGCAACCAGGTTCGGCCTCATTTCCTCTGTGCTGCGCTGACGAGTCCACAAAGGACGAAACAGTTCTGTCCGCAGGTTGAGTGTAGCTAGAATCATAATAGGACCTCACATAATACGTGAGCTGCTTATAGGCGATTCAGACTACGGCCAAAATCACGTCTGAACTTGAATTTCCATGGTGATGCAGTCGTGTTTCAAAATTTTATGCACAATCCCTGATCAAATACGTCTGAGTCGTAGAAACGTGGTCACATTTAGCCGTAGTCTGAATCGCCTATTAGCGTCTACTGTATGTAGTATATATATGTGTTATACAGTTAACACTTCTACACTGGGTGACACTTTGTCCGTCTGGAATTTCCGACGCATCCTCGTTCCTTGCCTCGACACACTGTGACTGGCAGCAGGTTTGGACACCTGCCCACGCACTCGCAACCAGCAGCAAGGCACGCACTCGGCGGAACGCAGACATGAAAGGAACGATCAAGTCCAGTGTCCACACAAATCAACTACGACTGCTTCCAAACTAACAGTCATGCACATACTGACATAGTTTTAGTTCACAATAACCTGAATAGGTCCACATGCTCGTACCGGAACATATTCTCAGCCAGCCTTCAACCCGTCTCCTCTCATCGCTGCTCTCCGCCGCTGCCTGTTGCACCTCGCCACTGAACACACTCATCGTCTGCAGACCGTTAGTCCACAGCGCTCATAGCACGAACCACTAGCTACACTCTCTTACTAGCGAGCGAACATCAGTGGACACATCCAAAAGCGAGCCTTTCAAACGACGTTTGTGCTCTGCAACTTCCCACCCTATGAAAACCTAAGATTGAAGGAGCAACGTCCTATCTGGCTGCGCCACGGTAGCGCCTTACCATATTGCTATTGCCAGTATTGGTCCGAAGCTGTTGTGTTGAGCGGACTGTTCTTTGCAAATGCAGGACTGACAACACAAAATACAGTACAGAACCCTGGCTGTGCATACGCAGCATGCATGCAGTCCAGCTGCAACTCCTCTCCTCCTCGGATGAAATCGATAGTCTTACTTTTTTATTTTAGTGTCGCAAATAAATAATTTTCAATCGCTGTACTGTTAGGATTCCGATCTTGACATACATGTAGATCTAAAATAATGTATACTACCCGGTAGTAGTAGTAGATCTACATGATTGTACATACGACTACCTGGGCAGAACGACTCCCTGGTTCTGACTGCAGTATGGCCCTATGCCTATGGGTTGGGCCGGCCATGGCCATGGCCATACCATGGCATGGGGATCCAGTCATTTCAGTGTCACAAACAGTCATGCAGACCTACCGCAGTACTAGCACCGGTGCTACCACTGTGACCACAGACAGTAGATATACATTATGTGTACATGATCTGAATGATGTACATGATTGTAGATCTACATCATCATGAATTATTAATTTTATTTGTAGAGTCTACAGACTACAAATTGTACAATCATGTAGCTACGTAGCCAGTCTTCCCATGACGACGATGAACTGCATGTAGTGTGGTGTAGAGTGTAGTACAGGTACTACTACTAGTGCTACTAGTATGTATTATTATTATGAGTTTATGTACAAAATGTAGGAGAAGTACAGTCATGTACAATGACTGTAACTATGTCATCCATGTCCATGATTTTATTCAAAGTCCCACATCAATGAATAATGGCAAGACGGTACAAGACTCAAGAGAATAGCTCAGTAGAGAGAAAAGAGGAAGCCAAAGAGGAGTCCAGATGGAAAATGAAAGGAAAGATAAGAATATTGAAAGGATCGGTCTCGCAATACGGTTAATTCCCATTGTGGATAGGATAACGTTCAATTAACGTCTCTACGTAAGACTGAGTAGGTCGTTACTATTAACAATAGGGAGGTTCTGCTATACGTGAAACGTAGAGAAATCACGTAGAGAGCAGGTGTCTGGGTTAGAGTCTACGGCTTCGCGTGTTTTGGCTCCAGATTTCTACGCGGAGATGGGGTTCTCTACGTTGTGGCCAGGGAGTCGTCAAATACGGTATTTGACGACTCCCTGGTTGTGGCACACGCAGAGAAAATGCGTACGGATTTGCTGGGTATCAACTGCATGCAGAAATCTGCTAAATATGGAAGGGAAATTCCCAGTACACATTCCACGTGACTTCTCTAGGTGAAACGTAGAGCAGAACAGCATTTCTTTACGTTACGGGAACGCGAAGAAAGTTCGCGTGATTCTTTGCGTCGCGTTCCCAAAACGTAGAGCAGAACCTCCCTACTGACAATAATATTTACATGTACCTAGCATGCCTGCAAAAGATGCAGAACACACTATTAATTATTGGTGCAGCCAGCCTACAAAGCATGCAAGTGGCAAGCCGCATTTATCAAGAAAATTAATGGTGAGCACACTCGGCGGCGCAAATAGGATACCCTCCACCCACAGAAACACGTCACAAACCATTTCAAGAGCAAGAAAGAAATGCAGTACCTCAGCACTGCAGTATGTCACCGGGGATTAAATACAGCGCACACTTTGGGATGTCACGGGTTCAGTACTTCTTCCCAATCCTACCATGGTTACCTTGGTTATGCAGTGAGCATGTACAAGACCGTGTACTGCTGCGCTATGCTGTACTGATACCTATGCAGATTATTAGCATTGTAGTAGTTTGACTTTGTGGTGTTGCCGTGCACCGCTGGGCTATGCTATGTAATGTTGGCCCTTGCTGTACCGTTAAACTATGTTACATGTACATGCCATGCCGGCGGTATTGCTAGGCTAGGCTATGCTGTAGTGCTCTGGCTGGCCTTCCAACAACACATACGCACCGTGTACTCGCCAATTGGCGCCACACAGAAATTATAGAGAGGCTAAGCTGCACGTCATTTTTGACGTGACACACAATTTCACTTCAAATAGCCAGACGGTCATCGATTGGCGTAGAACGCCAAATTTCAACACGAGATGCAGCTCTCTCCCATTGTTTTCCAACATGAGAAACTGAATAATGCGAGCAGACCTTCCACGTCACATCAAAACGAACCTGCAGCTTGACCAGTCCTCTCCAATCTCCGGGCATGCGGATGAAATTGTGATTTTGACAAGTGCCATAGGTTCTTTACCGCTGCGGCGCATACCACCATTGAATGCTGAACCCTTACGTGTGTGTGTGTAGCGTGCATTTTTTCCATGATATGGCATTACTGTACTGCTGTGCTCATCTGTAATACATGACATTGGAATGAAGGCTGGAATTTTGAAGTTATTGTTTGCTACTTCAAGCACATTACCTGAACGTCAAAAATCGGATTTATTCTTTATTCTTGGTTACTTCATAATGGCACAGTTGACTTTATTGGCACATTTCTGGGCATTCTTCTAACAACCACCCTTATACACGCACCTCACTCTTGGTGGGCCCAGAATATCTCAGCGCTTCGGTGCTAACACACGATATTACGGCATGTACAGTAGTCAGTTTATTGTGCACAATAAACTGACTACTGTAGAGGAGACGGCTCGATACCGGGACGTTTTGACAGCCAAATTTGTATAGACCCAAACCGATCATCAGCGTTGATTTTTCACTCGAAATATGTTTGTGGAAGGAAACTGGCATGTTGAAGTTTGCTCTGGGGCCAGAGTCAATCGAACTGAGCCACTCCTTTGTGTTGACCCATTGCCTCCAAGTTGCCCAATTTTTTGCTTCAAAAAAGTTCAAATCAGAGGTGGCTCCAAACCGGACACGTTTTAGAGTGCACGTCAAATTCACTCTGAGTCTGAAATTAGGTAATTGCTATCGCTCCACGACGGCCAGTACAGAGTAACAATAAGCCTTGTGTGTGCTTCCATTAGTTTTGATTGGTATGCGGTGCTTTATTGGCGAGAGGCGAGCCGCTGTTTACCTGCGACAAGAAGTTGATTTTTCGAAAGTCGTAAAACTCAAGTCGCAGTGCGAAGCAACACGTCAAAAACTCACCTGCTTGATATGGCGCTTCTGGTCATCGCAGAGCCATGAAATTTTGGCTCGGAGTATAACACATCGTAGTCTCACTGTGACATATGTTTTCTAATCAAAATATCAAGAGAGAAAGTGAATATTGAGTCCGTTCCGGTTTGCAACCGGTGTCCTATTTGAAACCGTCCCCTCTACATGCCGTAATATCGTAAAGTACCAAGAGGGCGCCCCACAAGTTACAACCGAGGAAAGGAAAATCGTATGCCAGAGTGTAGCTAAGTGTGTACGCTGTGAGAACCTTTTACTCTACTATGGCCAGTTTTAAGGATGTTTTCGTGTAGAGCTTGCATCTGCTCGAAGGATGATTGAGTATGGATTGACTGCAAAACATGCAATGTGTGCATAAGGTATCTGTGGTATGATCTACACACAGGAAACCACCTCCACAACACCGGCACGTAAGCACGAGATGGCTGGGCACTCTGGCGGTTCTGTACGGTATTTTAAATGGGCACCGTACACTTAAAATGGGAACTACAGTCAGACCTTGCTTAACTGAACACAACCATTTTCAACAATGATATCCGGGTAGGCGAGGGAACCGGATAATCGAACACACACATACTTTATGCATGCATGACATACATGTATGCTGTAAATCAGTAACCAACGATTTGCTTCTGGACGGCGAGCGATCTGGATAAATGAGGAACGGATAAGCGAGGTCTGACTGTATACACGTAAAATGGGTAACCATAGATTTCAAATGGGCATCATGCATTTCAAATGGGTAACCATAGATTTCAAATTTACACCATTCATTTCAAACGGGATCCATACATTTCAAGTGGACACCATGGATTCAAATGTGCTCCATACATTTCAAGATTGTTCCACACATTTCAAATGGGCACCATACTTTTCAAATGGGCTCCATACATTAAAAATGGGCACCACACATTTCAAATAGACACCATACATTTCTAATGAGCACCATGCATTCAAATGGGCTCCATATTTTTTAAAATAGACTCCATACATTTCAAATGGGCGCCATACATTTCAAACAGACACCATACTTTTCAAATGTGCTCTATGCATTTCAAACGGGCGCCATGTATTTCAAATGAGTGCCATACATTTCAAATGAGCACCCTACAATTCAAGTGCCCGCCACACATTTCAATTGGGCACCATACACTTCAAATGGGCACTATACATTTCAATTGGGCAACATACACTTCAAATGGGCACTATACATTTCAAATGGGCTCATACATTTAAGGTGGCTCACACCCTCTGCGCGCGCATCGTTTGAAAAGTGTAGATTTTCAGTAAATTTTTCGGTAGCGATGATTTTTGTGCGATCAATCGTTGTAGGAAACGTCTTCTCGCTTTTCTGCAATTCTGGCGACCTACAGCTAGAACCTGCTGCTACTGTGCTAGTGTCCCTCTTCACTCGTTCTTTCTATGAAAGGGGAAGGCAGCACTCGCAGAAGATTTTCTAAGAATGCAATGTCGACTGGTGCTCGTACTATAAGAAGGGAGAAATCAAAGTCCGCTCTTGAATCACGCCTGCCGGAGTCGAAAATTATTTCAGAATACGCTTGTGTAGATTTCCTGCCAGTGCCACTGACATCTCGCGACCTTCAAATATAACTTGCTCGATCATCTCCCGCACTGACTGGTAAATTCGTCGGGTAGCTGTGGATGGATCGATTCAGGGAGATCGAAGGTAAATACATCGAAGCACTTCAAACACGTTTCAAGACGCACTTCAAATTTTGTAATTGTGTCTTGAAAATTGTTTACAACAATTCGTACTTCAATACGCTGTTGAATTGTATCCTCTGCTTGGGAGTCTCGACTGTTTTATTGCTGTATGGCTTTCCTCAACACCGTTCACTGTACATGTATCGCGGAACGCAGATTGGATGGCATTGGAGGTGAATTTGATAATTTGTGACTGTGTCATCAACCAAGTGAGGACATCAAATATCAACAGGGACGTTCCGAA